ATATATGACACAAAGAAATGCACGTATTCATCGGGTAAAAGTCGATAAAGTTTAAATAAAAAAGAAAAGAAATTTTTTGTGTCAGAACAAGAAGACTAAAACTAAAACTACTAAAATACTTAAACATTTAGTAGAGAGATCGGACTGAAAATTAGACATTGTAACAGAATTTTAGCAAATGTTATAGCTAGATTTTGGTGCTTGATGATGAATAACAACTATTTTCACTTTCAAAAAGTAATGGTGTGACTGCTTTTTTTTTAATAACTCAAGAATAGAAACATGTAGAAGCTTGCCGTTTTCACAATTCGAGAGAACAGACATTGGGACGTCTGCTTCTTCAATATTGTATAAGACGGAATCATTTTTAAACCAATCGTTTTTATAAAACGTCTAAAAAATGCACAAATATTATCTGCCGTTAAGATAAAACTTTAACAAAAAGCAACAAATTAAGACAAATTCATATCTTTCGAGCGAACAAATAGAAAATTTGATTTCATTAACATTAGAATATGTAATGACAATCATTCGAATTATAGTCTAAACTGTGGACCTGAAGTGTAAGTGTGGATAAAGAGAGAATTCTCACACCCACATCCATGCTCACAGTTGCAATTCAACATGGAAAATTGTTTTTCGTTCAAATATGTCACACTTGGCATGGATATTCAGTTGAAGTTGGAATGCAAAGTGAATGCATGAGTTTCGCGATAATGAATGTTTGTTTACTATTGTATACAACATTTATAATTCTTGCAATTCTAAATTATTGCCACAGTTTTTATGAACTATTTTTCATCATTTTAAAAGATTTGGATGCAAATAATGTTCATTTTTAACAATTATAATTTATTAAATATTAGCATTTTTTTCATCTCTTTATAATTAATCAATTAATATTCGTTACTATGAAACATCTAATCATAAAATAGAGTCTACGTCTCTTTTCTTTAACTACACAAGTAACGCTCATCACTAGAAAGATTTCTTATTGACCAAGAATAGTCTATCAGTAAATGTGTGGTTGAAGTGGCTCAGATTTACAACCCTTTTCGTCAAGTGTTCGGTCAATGACTAGTCGGTATGTCAGTGTCGTCTAGAATTTGAATAATGTACTGCATGATAGAAAAGAACTAATTGGAGTAGTTCTCACCTTTCCTGAATTTAGATCTGTGTATAACATCGTATGTTTGCGCCAATGTTGTTCCATTGGCTTTCTTATTTGATTAGCAATCGGATTTTTGGCCAAATTCGAATAATCGTACTCATCTACTCTCTCCTTATCATAGAATAAGTGTGACGATTTCTGATAGAAGACATGTTAGTGTGGATAAAGTTACACTTTATTCTGTTCCTTCATATCATGAATCGCACTGCTTGCATAGAAAGCATGTGCTTATATACGCATTGTGAAGAGAGGACAGACAAGCCAGGATACAATCAAGCGCGATACAATATTTGAATCACACACAAGGACAAATCCGAAGGGCATGACAACAACAACAGAAACGCAAGGATATAAAAGGTATTCTCGTGGGTTGTTACACTCCCTGGTCTAATTTGGACGCTCTCCTGACTGTTCGTAACATCAAAGAGCACAGAGAGTAAGAGAACCAAGAAAGGAGCAAAGAAAGAGAAAAAGATACAACAAACAAATGCATGCTAGAAAACGAAAGCTCACGAGTCTAGATTTCGATGTCACATGCATATGAACGATGGTCTCTAAAGTTGGATGTGGATGGGTCCATGGGTAACGGCGGTTGCGGCGAGCTCGTTTATTCTGACTAGATTTCATTTCACTAAAATCCACACCTACATTCACAGCCACCCAAACCCACACCCATACTCACACCCACACCCATCCCACACCATAACACTCATCACGCTTTTCCAGATCCAATCTCACAGGATATAGGTGTGGATGCGGGTTTAGCAGTGGGCGTGAACAGAACGTGGAAATGGAAGTGCGTATGCCTGTGTGGATGTGGGTCTACTCTCCATCCGCATCAATACTCACCGTCACACCTTACCCACATCTCACGCTTACACCTACACCCATACCCAGACCTCACACAAAGCCCGAATACGTCCTACAGCGAACCACACCCACACCCACACCCTCTTGTTAAGATCTGGGTGAGAGTGACCTCATAAAAATGATATTTGATTCTTTTGTCTAAGATTGATTGAAGAAAATGGGTGAGAGTGGGGTCTCATGAATGGACAATTTTGTGCTCTATACATCGATAATATCTTCGAATGAAATGGCGGTCAGAGTGGATGAGAGTGCATTTTACTAACACCCGATGCTGAAGGTGCAGGATCTGCACTGTTTTGAGGGTGTGGGCGTGGGTATGAATGAAAGTAATAACACCAACACCCGCGTATCCGACACTGAAATCCACATCCCACATTCACACCCTTTTCGGTCCCAAATGAGGCGGAAATTTCCAAAATTCATCCAAAAGACTCGCCGATTCGGACCGTTTCGGATACCTTTCTCAGACCCAAGCCATCGACGTTGGTAGTAGTCATTCTGTGAATGTTTTGTTGATTCTTTTGTAGAGAGAAACATTATACATAAGAGACGCAGGTAAACAATAGCATTAGCTTCAAGGTTTGTTTTGAGACAGTACGAAGCATTGTACTTATGTGTTGCTTCGCAAGTTTACTTAACTAATGCAGTTCTTTACGAGTTTTGCTTTCTTTCTTTCCATTTTTTTTTTCTTTCACTTTCTCCTCGTACGTATTGAAAGTTGTCATTTTGTACCTGTATGATCTGAAGAATGAAAAATTAGAAAATTTTCGTTTAAACGCGAGGTAAGTGTCAATATCGAGGTGCTCAATATTTTTTTTTCAAACCTTCTGACACATTTTCCGTTCCTTTTCAAATATCATTAGAAAAACACGAATTTTGGAGAACTTTGCTTGTCAAGCTTCGAGATGATTAAGAGAGGGTCCATGAGAAAATCGAACATTTTTCAATAGGATTATACTCTCGAAAATGTTGACCACCATACTTTATAATTGGAAATGAAAGAGTAAGATGAGAAACCTACAAATCCAAAATTTTAGCCCATTCGAGCTAACCTCTAAAAGGTTGTGAAATACACACTGAAGACACCCTCAACAGATTTTGAAAAAAAAAATTTTTTTTCTTGCAAAATTTGGTAAGCCAGTATTTGGTAATTGTCTCCACAGTAAACTATGACAATCTTTTCGAGTAATATACCATTAGATAGAGCATAGTTCGCTTTACAAAACTGCATATGTCACCTTATCCTCAACCTCCATTTTTAGGAACAACAGCTTCAAAACTAGATCGCCTCTACTGCTTTTTTCGCATTTTTGTCTTGTTCTCTTTCCCATTGCAAGCTGTATTTGTCTGCTAATTTTAACGGACCCAAAGGTTTCTTTACGGATTTGGATAGAGCGAATAAAGAGCTATCCAATGAGAATTAAATAATTGAAATCAAAGCAGCACGCGACCCTCATCTAAGCCACACAAGATATTCTACTACCGCGTTAATCATAGTGTTTTTCAACATTTTTCTATATTTTACATGTACATGACGACTCTAAGTTTTCTTTCAAGTAGAACTTTAACTTGGATTTATTTTTCAGCGTTAAAAAATGCATCAGACGGGCTAATCAAAAGTTTTTTGAAAGTCATTCATATGGAGAGACTAGCGGTTATTTTAGAATGTATTCAGTACAATAAAATACTTCCCACCACAGTCATTTTACATAACCCACAAGCGAACCTGCTTAATTGAGATTGTGAGACATTACTCAATTCACAATATATCGCAGAGGAAAGAGTTTTAGGAGTTTTCGCGTAACCCATTTTCAAAAATATAGAGCCGTTAATATTTTATATTTTTTTGTTTCGAGGATCCGAAAATTGAAAAAAGTACATAACTAAGAGGTAATACTAAAAACAACACTCTACTTTTAAATTCATTTTTGAGAAGGATCTGCCAGTATTGTGAAAGAAAAAATTTTACCGTTTCTTTCGTTGCATTCGTTTTATTTTGCTTCTCACCTGTTGTCGTTCTGTAAGTGCCTTGTATTCACTCTTGTAAAGCTCAAAGAAATCACATACACTCGCTTTCTCTAGCTGTTAAACTGTTTCTTCTTCCTTTTCATTGAGGTAGCTATTCTATCGAAGATGGCGTTGGTAGGAATATGAATATCTTAAACTGTCATTTACCCTTCTCCCCTCCATTACATACCTTAGCAACCAGAACTAAATAATGGACATTTGTAATAGCCTTATTTACCATTCAATTCAATGCTTATAATAATAAAAATATTAGGTTAAGAAAAAGAAAAATAATGAATGAATAGCAACAATTAAGGCGAAAAAAAATAAGTACGTCCGTCAGGAAAAAGCAATGAAAAAATTCTTATTTTTAGACAATTTGTATTTCGTATTAGTGTAATAAAGCAGAAAAACAAACGTGAATTTCACATTTCAGCTCTAAATGAACTATGCTAACAAGCTGTTTTTTAAGATTCATCTCTTCACTTGTAGGACGAAATACAAATCTCATAGGTTAGTTGTATATGTGGTATAAGAAAAAGTCGCACTATGTTAAATAATAAAAGCATTATGTTAAACCAATGAATTTGTTAATCGACTAATTTTCCTTCATCAGCTTTTATGAAACGCTCTTTTTCTTTTCTTTCTTACGGTATTCTGATGATTACATGCTAACCTTCATGAACTATTTATAAGAACAACTGGACAACGATTCAAACACTTTTTATTCAATTTCACTAATGCTTCTAATCTTTTTTACCAACAAATTGAAAAGAATATCACCAAGAGTACTTTTAGTGTTAAAAAACAAATATATGATAGTTTTTTATTCATATATAGTCTCGGTGATGATCGTTCAAACATGTGATGTCTCTGTTATAGATATATAAATTAACGATCATTAGTTTTCTTTTACTTGAAGAATTAATTTCTACTTTGTCGATATCGTATAATGGCAACTAGAAGTGGAGCTGACAATTTATTCAAAGATGTTAATACAAATCAATATGGAAAGTATGAATTCAGAATTTAAATCAAATGATAGATACATATATATACCTATTTAGTATTGATAAAAATGAATTTCGTCATTTGTCTTCAAATACTGAAGGATTGAATAATTCATCATATGACTCAACAACTAGGGAACTCTATCGTAATGATTATACTACTACTAGTAGTCAATTTGATGGATATGACTATAATGGTAGTTATTACGATGCTTCAGAACGTACGACTGATAAATGTACTTCATATGGAAGTACAGTAGCACCTCATGAGTGGGCTAATGCTACGGTGATTCATACAAATAGTGCGGAAGAAACGAATGAATATCTTAGAAAATTAGGTGGTGACGTTTTTATCGATCCTAATCCACAAATTATTCGACGAGTAGTATCTGAAGAACCAGTAACACTAGAACAACGAGTTTTCGTCCAATATCTTCAACCATCATTTGTCCCAGAATCAGGAGTAATGAGACAACTTATTTACAAATTTATTCTTAATAATCTTTGTATAATTATAGCCACGCATTACTAAAGAAGTGCCTCCACGATAATCATCGCCACCTCCACAACTTGTTATACGCAAACATGCACCACGTCCTACTGCACTATCTCCACTTATCTTGCGTGAATGACCACAAACACTACTAGTACATGTTCTAAGTGAAACAAGTTTAAAAAAAAAGATTTATATTACATTAATTAGATAGATCAATGTGTTTTATTTTAGTTACTCGTAACTTATCTCGTATACATCTTCCACTACGATCAGTCTTCATCGAACATTTTCCACCTCATATGGTGGGTGTGGGTGTAGGGAGTGGGGTGTGGGGGTGTGAATAGGTGTGGGTAACAAGAAGATCCACACCCACACCCTAATATTCATGAGTTATTTGTCAATATCATTATAGAAAAATTATCTAATAAGCGAGATAATATTTTATTAAAATTCTAAGAAATATTTTTAGAATAATCTATATATTTGTCATTTAATTCTTTATTTATAGTAATATATTTAAGCATTTGTTCAAGTTTTAATGTCTATTGTAAACCAAATATCATCGACTGTTTATATTCATATGAAATACTTAATCGTTTGATCAATCGTTTAGTTAACATTTTTCTATAGATTTTTCCCGAAATATTTTTATCCTCAACATAATTAAAAAGAAACTATATAATAAAATAAACTATTAATCACTTATTTTTGATAAGTAAATCATATATTTGCCATAATTTTTTCAAACTCTTCGTCAAATTCATTTTCATTTATTATTCTTTAACTAAAAAAAATTAAAAGCTAACGAATAATATATTTAATAAACTTTTTTTTTTACTTTTTACGAAGAAGTTCATCACAATACTGAGCAATTAGTTTAGATAATTTAGTTGCATTATCATTTGTCACTATATTCTTATTAAATAATTTCATACAAACTTGAAATAGATAGAAACTAAAACAATACAATAAAATCAGCATTTACTTTATCAAAAGCATCTTTAACACGTTTTCCATTATAAAAAAAAAACATTTTCAATTAGTTTTGAAAATCTTCGATGAATCTTAATCATTGATTCAAGATAAAGTTTAGGATTCTAATTTAAAAAACAAAAGAATATAAATCTATAGACAAAATAAAACCTACATTAATGACAGTTTCTTTCATATATTTGATTATTTCAAGGCTCGTATTATAGATAAAATTTTCAACTATATCAGCTACATGACTTTCTGCCTTCGACACTTGACTTACCGGTTTCAGAAGATAGATCAAATCTATGTGAGTGAGTACATGAAGATTTATAATAAAAAAATGAAAATAACCATTAAACATCCAATCTACATATGAAAACTTTGGCGCAAATTTTTGTTTTTTGTTTCTTATTATTTATTAGTAAAAGCTTGATTGTGTAACTAATCATAGGAAAATAAAGTATAAAGATATGCATAATTCTTTTTCAGCTATATTTCGAAGTTGTTTTCCTATCAATTAAAACTTGCTTTTTACAGACTTAATATTGATTCTTTCGTTTTTTCATATAATCTACTTTTTAACTGATCGATAGTTTTGCCTTCTCAACATTTTCTCTTCTAAAATTCATTCAAGCGATTAATCACTATCATTAGACTTAAACATCACATCATCAGATGTTAAATTCAAGCAGATTCAAAAAAACTGTTAAAATGCTGGCTGTGAAACAGTGTCACATTCGAACCCAGTCACCAAAAAGTTTTCAATTTCGGGTCAGAAAAAACTGATCCATATCGGACTCTGATGTGGAAACATATGTTAGAACCATTTTATTCGAAGTAATAGAAATCAATTAGTGAAGGAACATATTACAAACATTATACCGAAACATATTTGATTTGATTTGTTATCAAGCAATTTGACATTAATTGTCATTGAATTTATCAAGTTCGTCAAATTTAAGTTTTCATCAATAAAAATGCAGCTTTGAAAGATTGCTTAAAAAGGATCATATGCAACTTGTTTATTTTTATTTTTAAAACACTTCTATTTATACTTTATTTTCATATAATTAGTTAAACATATAAGAAACAAAAAATTTGTGACAAGACTTATACGCCATAAGCTACTCACGTTTATGTTGTCATTTTTTAAATTGTAATTTGAATTCATTAATAACAGTAGATAATTGATCTCGAATAAATATTTGTTTTACTAATGCATGTTTTTCTGACATTGATAAACATGGTCCGAAACGATCTACATCTTTATTAAGATCCTGAATTATTGTCTCAAAAAAGGAAAAAAAGAATATTATGCATATATTTTAATTAATAGTTTGTCGGCTAGAAAAAAAATGACTTTATTCATAAATTGATTTATTGGTCTTTTATAACAATAAGAGATAGTTACACGAGATGAAATATCTTCAATTTATTTTTGAAGCTTAGATTGAAAAAGTATCTATACATAGTAATTATTTCTATTGAATTGTCATTATTTGTAATTAATTCGTTTTGCTCGAAATCAGAATCTAATAGAAAACAAGACAAAATAAAAATAAAAATAAATTGATCTGGAATTTCGATCAAATTTAAACAAGTTCGTATTATATTTGGAATTAGTGGTAGAAAAAGATGATTTTGCCAAATTTGTTCGCACTCCTAAAAGAAGAATATTTCTGGAAAGACAATTAAATAAATATTATTTCACCATATTTACCTCATGCATATCAAATCTCCGTGTGTAATATAAAAAACTCAATTGATTTGGACAATATCTAAATTGAGTAACCATCTAGATAGAGTGTGTAAAATGATTACTTGAAAATCTGTGATACATTTCTCGTGAGAGAATTTCGCCATGCAGAGAGACTATTTTCTTGACTTTTATTATACTATTCGATATACTGAAGTCTCTACTTTATTCTACAAGTTATAGAATTTCGAAATATCTGAAGTCATATCGATTCTACAGAACACCTAAGTTTTTCAGTAAAATTTATAAGGTTTTGAGTAATTTTTTGTTTCTAAAGAATATCATCTTGTAGACAAATGTTTTTTTTATCGAATGAGGGCATAACTCGAAATATTTTGATCAAGAATACAGACCATATAAAAGGAAAAGTATAAGTGTTAAAATAATTTTTTCTCATAGGAAATCAGGTGATTTACCGATAGCATTCCAAAATCTTCTAAAACCTTTTTAAAAGAAAATGTTCACTTGTAGATTAAAGCCAAGACTTCAATCTAGAGAATGGCATAATCAAAGCAGAATTCTGCAACTCGATTTGACTCGCGGATGGGCTTGGTCTGAACGTCATTAAAGCAGACTGGGTACAGTTAAACTTCAAAAAAAAATTTGGGTCTTCTGTTCTAAAAGTCACTATATCAGAAACCGATCGATTCATTTTATCTATATATATTATTTCGATGACTCCAATAGATCGGAATCGTTTTTGCAATTTATTCTTCTTCTCTACAATATGAACAAATCTATTGTAATCTTAACCGGTCATTGTACTGAAATAGTCGAAGATAACTGTAAATTTCAAGTGATAACACTTGAGATAATACTCATAAGCCATTACAACATTATTTTGTTCTTTCATTAGAGTTTTCAAAATGTTAATCAATAACACTCGATACAATACTGATGAGATAAGTGTTGATTTTTTTACCTTTCTGAGAACCACGTTCTGGTACAAAAATACAGTTTATTGGAATCAAGTTTTTTTCCGATTTGATGGAGTCAAAAAAAGTTACGCTTTGATCAAGCAGCTAGCTGGTCAAAGTCGAATAGCAACTGAAAATAGACATGGTGAAATTGATTATTATGCGCATAGTATCAATGTATATCAATATGTCGTGAAAGAACGTTGTCGATGGAGCGTTTAGTTATCTCTCTGATCCATTGTTCATTATCAGCTGACTTCACAGCTGTATTAAATGAGTTTGAAGAAACTTACGACTGCCTTTTATTATTATGTTCATAGTTAGCTGAAGTTTAGCTCACCACTTTTAATTAACTCGGATAAAAGGTAAAAGTCAAATCGTCAAAATCGTCGTCCTTTCGAGATATGAATTTCTCTCTGACAAAGTTCGAAGGAGTTTCTAATAACTGACCATTCTCTAGATCGCTGCGACAAAAAGTATGGAAGTCAAATGCATACGCAAAGGACTACATAAAGGCTATGCTTAATATCGCATTAAAAATAATATTCAATACAGCATGTACTCATTGAAAGTAGAATAGTGTTAACAATTGTTTCACTTCGTATTTACGTGCCGATCAACAAGCATGCATCAATGTTAAATTGCGTGTTAGTGATTACCATTTTTCAAGATTTTTATCAGAGAGAGCAACAATGTCGTAATTGTTTCTTAATAAATTTGAGGCAATAACACTTGAAATCTTACAATTTTACAGTAGCATGTTAACTTAATAATGTACATAAATTTCAAAAGGTTTCCTGATATTGTATACAAAAACAATAAGTGTTGCAACTGGTTTAGAGTAAGTGAGCTCCCTTTAATGCCATTTTAATGGATATGCCATACGTTTATATAGATTTTCAATTTCTATCGAGTAACCATATTCACACTAAATAGCTGATCTAGCATAAATAAGCGGATCAGATTTTTCGGATTAGATCGAGTTCGAAAACAAAATATAAACCACGAATTTCATTATCTGAAAATTGATTGTTAATTAGTAACTTTAAATCAAAACTATTATTCATCAATTGGCTTTCTAAATAAATTTTCTCTTTCCTTCTATTAAACAAAGATAACTTACTTCACATAGACTTTTTAACTTTTGTTCAAAATTCTTTTCTATAATAGACACAAAATCATTACAATCACAATATCTATAAAAGAAATTGTAAATTAATTCATTCATAAAAAGAAAACAAGAAATGAAAGCCTTCTCTAATAACTGTTTACGAATTGAAAGTTTAACAGTTTTAAGCAAACATATTTTATCGACAAATTTTTCTGTCGCAGCTTCCCATTGTGAATTTCTATACTTATTTTTGTGTCATGTAGTTTATCAAAACAAAAAATAGAAATATAATGCAATTATAAAAATTATATTGTGACAATTTTGAGAGAGAAAGTTTCAGCAAAGGTGGAATAACGTTTATATACGTGGTTAGGACAGATATACCAAGCGGAAACAATATGTATAGAACATGAACTGCTTCCAATATAAATACGGATTCTTATGTCACTCAAGAAACCTTTTCGAACAAAGTGAAAATCAGCATGCATATCAGAAGCGGTACGTGGTCTATACATTTTGTTTCTGCTTGATGCATCTGCTATTGCAAATGCTGCTATGGATATCGTCACAGAAATAATAATAATAAAGTTGTTAAATAACTAAATCTATTATTCATTCCATTAAATTAATGAAATACGATAGGAAATGAGGATTTACTTTTTGGAATATAATGTAATAGACGAAGCAAATATGCCGATCAGATGGACACTAATGCTCATTTCAGAAAAAAAGGGGTTGGATATTTTTGAGTACCTTTTGATTGAAACAAAATGAAGATCAGCGATTTCAATTTTAAAAAGAGGAGAGAGCTGTATCGAATCATATATATACCTTTTTTTATCTGTTTTTTTAAAGTTTTCAATATTCCGATGTGAATTCAAATCACTTTTTTTTAGAAAATGGATTGCAAAACATTTCGGAAAACATCTGAGCGAATCTTTGAATCTAAGATTCAATGTGACTTCATCTCCTCTTTTCAACAGTGAAAAATGCAGCATTCTATCTCGATTCTATCAAAATTTACTCAAAAATACCCATCTGTCTGTTTTGTGTACTCAAAAAGTGAGTACACTACTAAAATCGGTCTGTGTGTCCGGCCGTCCGTCCGTCCGTCCGTATACACGATAACTTTCGAAAGGAGAGTCAGANTCTAAAAAACATTATACATTCTCTCAAGAAAGATGGGTGCTGGGTGCTGCGGTCGTAAAACTCAAGTTGTACAACCGATACCTAATCATGAAATTTACAGAGTCAAAAGTCCACCTATAACACGTAAACCTGAGACTGTATTGCCCAGAAACAAAAGTCCACCTACAATGCGAGACGACTCAACAATGCAACGCTTTTTGAAACCCGGTATTAGCTCAGACAGTCCTTTGAAACTTATTGATGGTTATCTCAATGAACCACTTTCGCCTCTTGAAGAAGCACTTCAACCCTTTCATGGTCAAATTGATCAATTAGCTTATTACATTAACGAAGCTAAAAGCAAATGTCATTATCCATCAGAACATAATCTTACACGTGATGAATCAGCTGCTATTTATATTTATACAATGAAATGGGACAACAAATGTCTCTATGATCATTTGCAAGAAGCATGGAGTTTTGAAGATAAATCTCAAATGAAACCATGGTTCAAATATCTTAAATTATTCAAAAGTGCATGTGATAAATTACCTAATGTGAAGAAAGAAATTTGGCAAGGAACACCATTTGATGAAAGACTCATAGAGAAACTAAGCTCGAAGTCATTATCACTTTATTCTTCTATGACCTCATGTTTACTATGGCCGAATGAAATTGACGACTATCTTCGAAAAAATGATAATGCAAAGATAATTCTTATTAGTTATGAATTTGTCAATGGAAAATCAATAGCCGGTTATTCAGCAAATTCATGGGATGAAGTCATTGTAAGCCCTGGTGTGAAACTGGGTGTAGCAAGCCACAGTATGATTGATGCTAATGGTTCAGTCACTCTACATCTAAAAAGAGTAATTAGTAAGTAAAAAAGTAGTATAGCCATACTGTTTTCTATTTTGTTTCTGTTGAGTTATTTCATATATAAATGAAGTCGTTGTGGATATGTTGAAATCTGACTACATGGAAAAAACTTTTTTTTCATTATAGACTATAGATTATTGACTCTACATTTATATTTAGATTCTTCTGTACCAGTAACAAACAAAACACCAAAAACTGAAAAACACTTCGTATGTGCGAATAATGCTCAGCATCGTTCATTTTTCATCCAATATTTGATTGCATTAAAAAGTGAGATTCTCTACTTCACATCGAACGTCATTACTAAACAAATAGTTTGTAATAATTAAGTTTGTTCCTATATTAGACAATCGTGTTTTCTTTTAGTTATTTTTATATATACTTCGAAATGAACAAAATATCTGAAAGTATGCATCGTTGTCATGGTAAACATGATTCGCATCATTGTATTGGATGTGTTGTTCTTTTGAATCAATCGTTTATTCTATAATCAATCATCATACGAAGAATTTCAGAACTTTATCTTTTGAAAAGGGTAAAATAAATGAACAGAATCTTTTTCATAGTTGCAAACATCATTGTGGTCCTACGCCAAGTGATTGTCCATAATTCATGTAGAAGCCGATGATGACGAAGTTCTTTAGAAACTTTTACATTTAAGTGAAAAAAATAAGTGAATAGATTATGAATGCTATCACTGTGATAAACATGAAATGTATTCATTGATGATGTGATGTTTATTCATATATGGACAACTTCTGATCATTGTTTTATATGAAACAAAATAGATAAACATAGTTATTTTAATAATTTGTTTGAATGTAAGAAATGTCAAAGTCGTTATTGCGATAAGTGCTGTCTTCATAATCATTCATCTATTATTATCGTGACGACTATAATATGTTGAATAGATCATCTTTTTTGCAAACTAATAAAATAAGTGAACAAAATGTTAAATAAATAATGGATGGGTGTCGCAGATTAATGAAATCGAATGTTGAGCATTTTTTAGTTAAGTCAGGAATCTATTACTTGATTGGAAGCATCATATTATGTAAGATCGATCATTTAAGAGAGCATTCATCAATAGAACGAGAAACCGAGGTACTAGTCAAAATTTGAATTTTTGATTTTTGATGTTTTCAATCTGAAACCACTAAACCTGGAGTTTTTACTCACGTGAGTGTACTACAGTAGAGCTAACCGATATCGAATTTTGAGTACTATCAAGAAGTTAATCGAAAAATCATGATATGAATGTTTATTAGGATTGTGCTTCAACAAAACAGCGAATTTTTCTTGCAATATAGCCAAAAAAAGATAAAGTGTAAGTTACCTGATAGACGTAGATATACTGTCAAACATCGATCTTTATTAATTCGTAAGTTGTAACCTTTTTTGCTCATGTCGGACGACAAAATCTCAGTAAATATATGATAAATTTGTCATACTACATTCAAATGAGTTAAAAATTGGGTATTGTGATTTCAGGTGATGACCTTTCGAACACACATAAAAAGCAAAAAAAAAATAAATTGTGAGCAGTGTCTTGTTTACGAAAGTGAACTTCCGTATTCTCATTAATTCTCTCTTAAAATAGAAGTTTGTATTTCTTCTGTCGTATATTGGAAAACATCGAAAAGCTATTCAAGTGGATACATAGTTGAACGTCACGATTTTGTTCGAATATTTTCTAAAAGTTTTCTTAATTTTTGATAGCTTTTTTATAGGAAAAGAAGTTACAAAGAAAACATGTTGATAAAAACTTAGATAAAATCATTCTTGAAAAATAATCTTAATGATCGAAATTTTTGTTCTGGCAGTGATGGTTTAGTCGATCAGCTGACATCTATAACATGGAAAAACAAATATCTTTCAGTTCCATTATACACATTTGTTTGTGTCTGTCATAATTTTGATACAATGCACATTGCAACAATCAATTTAATAGTTGGTAATTAGAACTGATTTATTGTTTCAAATGTCATCATCACAGAACCACTTCGTTGTCGATTCAATGATGTTTTCATGTATAATCTCGATCTAACGAAATAATCGTCTCATCTACAACTGTTAAATTCATATCTGTCTCATAGGTTTTCAAAATAATAAATCTTTTGGTTAATCGTATGTAAAAAGAAGATGGCTTTTTAAGTAAATATCGACTCTCTGTAATTCTAAAGACTTCGAACGTTCAATGTATTTAAGAAATTACGCTGTAGACATGAATATATTTCAGTTTCAAATCTTACCCAGACTGACTTATAAAGGACTGAAGATTTAAGAGTAAATCATTTGGTCTTAAACACTTTCTTGTATATCTCAGAAACAACAAAAACTATGGTATGTGTGTGGAAGATCCACAGGTACATCCACATTTATCCCAAGCAGTTGAAATAAGAATGTGACTGTAGACAGCAGTATTCAAATTTCCAAAAAAGTAAATTTTCCTCATAAATTATCTCATTTCAGATATGACTCTCTCAGAAATAGTATACGAATTGGAAAGTTCGGAAATTACCATCACAGTGATCTAAACGAACCGTTCCGAAGTTTCCAGTGAATTTCCCGATATTTCGCAGTTATTTTCAAATTTCTACTTATTTATAGAGTTGGATTGCCTTTTCATCATATATATATTCACAAAGTATATTGAAGGAATTTTCAGAAATTACTGAATCTTCCTGGTGATTTTCAATATTGGTGGTTGTTGTTTATGATGGATTACTTCACTACGACAGGAATTTCTACTATTGAGGAAATTTACTTTTATGGAAATCTGAACATACCTCATTCCAGTATTATATATTATTGTTATGTTCGAGAGTAGAGCAACAATTTATTTGATACTGATACTTGAAAGAATGAGATATAGACAGTGAACCGAAAACGAATAGACAAGTTTGATATGTATAGCTCACTCAAGAATATCACATATTACAGTTGTATGACCACAGGTCTCTTTGCCGTTATTTGTTATTGTTACAGCCATATACCTTCTAGGTCATCACACATTCCGTTCTTATCAATGTCTGTTTTGTTCTGTTCACATTCTTTGATTCTTTTTTTTTCATCGCGGTACTTTTTCTTCAGTCAACTCATTCGAAATAAAAACGAACATAGAGAAGGAATAAAGGGATCATTCAATAGTTATGAAAATAATGAAGATGTTTGATTACAGACCTCGATGTGCTCTATTGATACACACTTGCGCATCTCTGACTACAAAGAAAATATTTAGTTTGCGTATTGTTGACGGTTTGCGTGCGCACCATTAATATATAATTGTTTTTTGAGTTTCTTCCATTTCTGTCGTCGGTTCTCTTTATTTTATCAGAAAAATCGTTGGTAGTTCGGATGAGAGAAAAGAACGGAAGAACAAAAAAAAGAAACTTTATTTTTTTCTGAAGTAAATATAACCATGTGTAGATGATTGTGTAAAAAAAACCCACTCTAAATTTCATTGATAAAAGCCCTACTAAAAACCTCTGAGACATCTACAATAGACCCTAGCCAATAAAATTGAAGAAATAACCATCATTTGTATGCTTTTTCCAAGTTTTATTTCTACACTGGGAAAATAAAATTCATTTGTGTTTTGCAAGATATTATTTATAGAACAGCATTGAAAACACAAGTATATAATATTCTACACATTAGATATCCATTTTCATACAGAAAAAAAAAACGCCACAACAGGAGAAATTGTCATTTTTTTATGCGGCCTTGTGTTTTTTTTAGTCAACTCATTTTGATTTTTTGTTTTTGTCTTTATGTAGATTTTTATTTAACAAAGTAGCAATGTCAATAATAAGTTTATTGGATAACAGTGACAATGAAGATTATCAAGACGATGAGCCGTCGACAACATTCAGCATCATACTTCCTGTACCGTCGAATCTTTCATATTCTCTATGTACCATTGCTTTGTATGCTTTACGTCAAGCTGATCAAAATGCGAATTGGAAAATTCAAGCTATGTTTGGCACTGATCTAAAATACATCTTCGCAGTCGTCACAGCGCTTACTCGGCCAGGGGTTAGTTCACTAAAATTAATTACTGTGAAATACAGAGCCTTGATATTACTTGATCTAAATCGGTAATTAGAGGTGACTAATCAAAAAGAGGAATGAATAAGTGATCCGTCAATGCATTTTCAGATTTCCAAAAAAAGGAAATTAGCAACATTTTTGAAGTTTCTATCGACTCGATAATTACATAGCAGTGCAAACTGAAAGTTTCTTTTAATAAATATTGAAAATTGTCACAACTTAGAAATCCCGATAATTTTGGGAGGTAACGAACAAAATGGAACACAACTTCTTAAAACTTTTCTTTTTGAAAACCTCAACACCGCTATATCCGGAACACTCAGCCGAAATTTTAATCAAAGCTAAAATTTGCTTCTTTCTATTCACAAGTATTCCTAATGTTTCATCAAGACTTTTCCATTGAAAGATGCCTAATTTTCATAAAACTTAAGTTTTCAATATTAAAAAAAACATCATTTTAGATCAACCACACTATTTAACAGGTCAATACCGATGCTAGAAAACCAAGACGTGAATAGCAAAATTTTGAAACTTCGAATTCTCTAAATTTCCAAAATTCTTTCATATTTCATAGAACTTTCTTGAATTTTCTAGGATTCTCTTCGATTCTATAGCATTTCTCAGAATTCTCAGTAAGCTCCAAAGAGTATATTAAGAAACGATATTTGCATTATAAATAGTTTTCAAAGATGATACTTGTTTTTCATGTTTTCTTTATTAGTATAAGTGAACTAAAGACTAATTGCTGCAATTGGATTCACTCAACTTACTCACAATTCCAACTTGATAGATTTAGGAAAGACTAAAGGGAGAACTTGTTACAACATACATCCGTACATCTTCTTCAGTGCTCATGAGTTACATATATTTTCTTACCATTGTCAAGGAAAGATTCCATGTTACTCAGTAAAGCATCATGCGCTAATTCTTATTTGGTATGAAATAACATCATATGATGAATCGACCTTGTTAAGTCCATACGCATTCTCCTCAGAAAATTCAAATTTGGATGTGGGTGATTGAAGAAGAATAACCTACACCCACACTCTAGTATCTTAAAAGGTTTTATTACTTAGATTGGTATTTTCATAAGAGAACAACCTCAAATCGTTCCGAAAAACTTTATCCCAAAGGCTAAGAACAACTATTATTTAGGTGACAGTATCCAAGAACGATCGAAATCCGACACTATACCGACTTCGTTTGCACGTTCGGCTTTATGATACTGGAGAAATTTTTATCCTGCACAAAAAACAATATCATCAAAGTGACACTTATCGACTTCGCATATCACAATCACGATCGATGCTTCCGAGTTCTCATTATGAAGACAGTATATGCCGTCGCCTTATAATAGACCCAACGATGACCGATCAATTTATATTCGATCTCCATTTTGAAAACAGTGCATATGTGATACCAGCTCCAGGTATGAAGAAAATTCAATGTGTCTGCCTTTTTATAGTAGCTAAGCATTTTAGGAAGTGACATATTATTTTGGGATCATCTATGTATCTTTTCGTATTTTATTATTAATATGAAATCTTACGATATGTTCGATTTATTCTTGCAACAATTTACCAATATCATACACGATCGAGGACGAGGGATTTCACGTGATAACTTGAACATGTTCTTTCAAACTTGCCGTAAACACTATCACACAATCGAACATATAGTTAAGGAAGATCTCGTTGCACTCAAAATTATTATCCGTATGTTAGCTCTTTTGCCTATTAATCAAGAAAATATAATCAGTGACAGTGAAGCAGCTCAGTTGTTCACATCGATCATTTTTAAAATTTTATCCCAAAAGATTCAAGCTATCTGGCCAATCATTATTGACAAAGAATGGTCATCGTTTCGTGAAGGTCTAGTAACACTATGCTGTATTAAACTACTGAATCATCAAGTGTCTGAAAAAGAAGCGAATGACTCTTTTGATTTACTTTCTATGATACCTAATGAAGCGCAACGACAAGAAACAGTCATAAAATTACTTACCCTACTCGGTGACTTAAGATGTGTTCTGAAGAGAACTGAAGAAGTGGCTCTTTATACATTAATCGATCGAGATCATCTCAAATTGGAACATCTCGAAGTGGCTGCTTCTCTTGAGACATATATTACTTATCTTACTCAACTTTTGATAGCTTATCAAGGAGATAATAATGAATTAGAAGAAAAGATTCAAACACAACTTGATAAACTTCTGAAAGAAAATCATTTTACAAGTAAGAAATATGACAGAGTTTAAATAACGCTAATTATTCTTCTTTAGTCAAACTTGCAGATATTGTATTTGTTTTAAATTATATGAAAAATGAAACAAATGAAGTTCATGACAATATTACTCTAGCTGCAATTCAACGAGTTAAATTTATTATTGAAACAAATAGCTCAATACGAGATACAATCAGAAAGCATTTGGATGAGAGAAACTATCATATTTCGTTAGATGAATTCACATTTATTCGTGATATTATCTTTCGTTCTTACAATCCATATGTTTTGCATGATATCGATCGTCAACAATATCTTTCAAGAATGCTCAGTCGTCGAGATGATCGACAAATGGAGTATTTTATCGCTTGGTTTCAATATTTTCTCTGTGATTCTAATCCCGATTGGATGAATTATCAAAGTCTACTTAATCTATGGACAGAGTGTTTTGTTTACAAGCAAGATTTGTTCTCAAATATTATTAAACAAATAGATGTGCTCATTGATTCATGGACAAAAGTTGCGCCGCAAGATCTTCAACGTTCAAATTTTTTTCTTACCCATATGGTAACACAATGTTTTCGACAAGGTAGGGATGATTATTAACTTATTATGATTTATTCGAGCATGTCTAATTCCATGAAATATTTATTGGAAAATTGTTTCTCTAACCCATTTTCATTTTCCGATTGAGGAGAACATTTGGAGACTTGTGCTAATCTTTAGATACAATGAATCTATTTTAAGATAATGCCTAGTCATGTACAAATCGTATCGTCATACTGTATGCCATTGTTTTCAGCATACACATCCAAAGTGTGTATGCCATGATATGAGAATCTTGAGAATGAAATGGTCTTGAACATCCATTCAACTCAAGCGCAAAGACAGCAGGTGAATAAGTATATCGTTGTTTGATATCAGGTGGAATGCCTGAATCATTGTGTGAGAAAATTGTGACTGAAAAAAAAATTGAACATACTTACGTCAGTTCAGCTAGACCAAAAAAAGCAATAGGAAGGGATCAGTGTCATTATTCGGTATGTTTCTTGATTGAATCTTGATGAACGAACGGTCCAATATCTTTCTTTAATGATATTACTTAAAAAAATTTAAGTTGGAGGAATCCAGAATCAGATTTTGAAGTCAGAGTTCAAGCAAGTTGATTCAGCCTAATACAAAATGTAAAAGAATGATATTTCTCTAAGAACTTTTGACAGTTTTCCTTTGTTCATGTACTGATACGAAGTTACATGCCTGAGTGCATCAAAACAGAAACACTTTCCACCTTATCGCCCATTTTTCTAGTTGAAAGTGGAAACTTAGACATGAAGAAAAATGTTTTCAACATTTTATTTTCGTCTATCTGTGGCTAGCATGTAAAGTAGTGTTGTTGAAGTCAAACAATAACAACAAGTTTCGTAATGATAATTTTTATCTGTTATGCATTTTGTATACAGATTCAAATACGTTCACATATTGTTCTTGTTTGTATAGGAAACATTTTCGATCTGATCAGAGACAGCTTACATTCGGTACGGAATGCAAAGTTTATTGACAGTTTCAAAGATAAATTCTTCAAAGATCAACTGCAAAATAACAAATATGGTCTTAAACAAATACAAAGTCATCAAAATCCATTATTTCATTTGATAAATATCGATAAACAAAAAAATAGACAAAATACATTGGTGAAAGATTTAATTTCACTTGCTGCATCGTTGATTGAAATAAATGAAACTGAAATTCTTAACGATACATTTTATCTTCCTTCTTGCGAAAATTTCACATATGCTATTCTATTTGATGAATCACTCAATTCACTTCCGATCTACACACAAACGATCAATCACTTGAACGCGAAATGGAAGAAATGGGAAACAAACGGTGTTATGGCTCATGATGTATGGGTATGGAAAGGCTTTACCTTAGAACAAAAAGCTGTTGTGCGTAAGATATGGGCTTTAGTGACTCAAGTCACAAAAGAAAAATATCAGTTCGATGCTCTGTTCGATGCCACTCATCGAACTATGAAAGCCAAATTGGAAATGAATGAAAAAGTAGTGACATGTCTCAATTCCTATTGTCAACATGCAAACGACAAAGATATATATCATGCGCTGGTGCGGGAATGGCATGATCGTTTTCAACGGGAAATTATTCAATCGATCGATATACCAAAAATGCTAAAGGATATCGTTCCGTTCGCTGAAAAACTTAATCCATATGCAAATGTATGTAGCTGGCGAGCGTTTCTTAACCAACGAACGACAATCAACGGTAAGTTTAAGAACATCCGCTTATACTAGTGTGTCTTTTTTCCGGAGAGAAATTATATTCACTTGAAATTATTTTATTTCAAATAGCCGTCAAAAAATCTATGGAACAACATCAAGAAATAGACAATGAATCATGGACTGCAGAAAAATCAACATTAACGGAGGAGTCAGGTATTTTACATATATGACACACATATCATATATCAAGGTTTCATTAATAGTATCTCCTGATCAAATCGAATTTGAAATGGCAAACCCATTAGCTGAGCCGGTGAAGAGAAAATGTATGGATGTTCTTCAACAGACCATTCAAATCCTTGAACAATTCTATGGCATATTACAACGCATATGTATGTCGCGACAAAAAATGCCAATTGAACATATTATTCGTCTTTTTCCTGACATTCAACAAGCGCAGAATGATCTCGAATTGCTTAAACCATTACTTGACCCAACAGCTCTACCACAACTTCTTTCTATCGTTTCATTTTGGAAAGATCATTCATGCATTCATCATATATGCAGGGGTTTAATCCAGCTGAGCAAAAGAGTTTCTGCTACCATTGACTCAACTTTGTTTGAAAATGTTTGTAGCATCAATGAGAAAACGTCGGGTGAAGTATGTACTTCAATTTATGAACAATATCGTAATGAAATTCAGAAACGGTTTCCAGACAATATTCTTACATTCATATCCTACTACGATTCATCATCAGATCTCTTTGATTTTCTGCATTCACTCACAGCTGACGATGTTTACAATTTACAAGAGGCTGTCAATGATTGGGATGAAACACTAGTTAGTACGAAAACCGTTTTTGACTTTGCTATTGTTAAGAATTTCATTGATCGCGCCTATACTGTTATGCGAGAGAAACATAAAATATTGAAAGATACTCCATTTCAACTTGAGCATATTGTCGATTGCTTCACGGACGTATGGAAGAATGATCAATTCATCAATCTACTTAAGTGTCTCGAGTCATCATCTCTTGCACTGTCAAGTATCAAACGTATTCATTTAGAATTAACTGATAAAGAACAATCAAAACGACGTCGAATTGCTGACATTCTACAAAAGTCTAGTGTCTGTTTTGTTCGTGTCAAACATCTCGAAACAATATTTGATGTCCATGTGGAGCTTCCATCTCAACAAACAACTACTAATCATGAAAAGAAACAACAAAAAATAACATTATCTGATTTAAGTGAACTTCGTGATCGTGCACGTCTTCTTGAATACTCGAGCAATGTCAATAAGAGAAATGTATCAGAAGCCGAAAGTGAACGTGATAAAGAAAGATTACGTAATTTTATTCGGTTTGCCAACATAGTTGAGTCTACTATTGAAATTCTGACTAACTTATATATGGCAGGTCATCCGTCTGTTCCAGAGTTTCTTGTTGGCCAGAGAATATTTTCTTGCACTGATGGATTGTATGATGATTTAGAACAGAATAATGAAATGTTAACTAATTTACTCAGTGATTGGGAAAATAAATTATGTGCCATGTATGAGACACACATTGGTTTGACTTATTTCTCAGGTGATCAATTCTGGCAAATCGAAGATTATATCTATCATCGTTCTTCATTTTCTCATCCGGGCTATCATCTTCTCAAATTCATTGACATTGATGCAAATTCAATCAAACAACCGCCCAAGATACCACAAAAACCAGATGATCGTCTGGTTAACCTTGGACGTATACTTTCTCGAGAAGAGCAAACGTCTACTCTACAAGAAAATCCAAAAGTTAAAAAATGCCTTCTCGTCGAAACAACAAACGATGGTATACTTCGTGCTATTCTGTCACTATTCTCGTTAACAAAAACTTCACCCTCAGTTCATCGCATTTTCTATTGCACCCAGCGCACGAATTGGATTCAAGTACGCGCATTCATTTACCGTTGTTTTTATTCTCAATCATGCCATCAACTCATTCGACCTGAACTTCTTTCGCAATCGGTTCAAGATCGGTTTATTCGTCTATTACGTTTGCTGATGGAACAGAAGCCACGCCAATTTTTTCGAATAGGTATTGTTACGATGACCACAGCAACAGAACAACAGATGATAAATGGACTTCAATCAATGCAAATTCTCAATATTTTACGCGATTATGAATTACTTAATAAGCCCGACCTTTCAAAAATCGTTGAATCAATGATTCAGGATTGTAAACTGATCACATCGCGGATCTCTGGTCTGGGAAAATCGAGTATTATTCGAAACGTCATTAAACGATCAGAGAAAAATTACATCAAATTTCCAATCTGTGGCGATTTTGACGTTGATCGATTGGCAGAAAGACTTCGTTCGAAATATTCTCAACTTGAAAAAGCCGCAATTCATTTTGATATTGGATCAGTTCATAACAGTCAACAATTGAATGAACTTCTCTATTGTCTACTTCTGTTCAGAAGTTTTCGTTTTGGACAAGTAGCTGTTTCAATACCAGCAGAGACTTCAATTTATATTGAACTTGATGCGTCACCTCAGTCTACTCTAAATGAAATTTCACTCTTTCAACACATAAAATCATTGGCACATATTGATCGTGTCGACTGGACTACTCTAAATGTGGAGAATCTCGAGACTCAGACGGTGGCCAACTATTTGCAGGAAATCGTTAGTGGAGTCATCACAAAACAAAACGTTAATCCTTCGAATTTTAAAAAACTAAATGCAGCAACATGCTCCCGTCTCATTCAAGATCACTTTCTTCAAAACAAAGATGTGAATTTTATTACCTGGACTCAACTATCTATATTCATAGCCGTCTTCGCTCGTCTATTCACAGGCTTTTCCCGTTGTGGTTATTTTCTTGTCGAATATGTTCCTCATCCAGCACTGCGTATGGATCTTGTTCAAACATTGCTTCGATCTTCAAATCAATTCACCTCTTTGTCGGTCGAGGCTGTTCGTAAACAACAGCGATCAGTTGCCACTAACGTACCAGTAGAATTTAGTGATACCATTATTCGATGGGACAAAATTCAACCTTTCACATTAATTTTCACATCTACTGATGAACCACTATTTATTTATAAGAAATCAACTGATGTTCCTCAAGCACTTATCGAATATTTTAAAATATATTATCAAGCAATAGGAAAAAAGAGAGAAATTGTGGAAAATAGAATGTTTCCTGATTACATGAATCTTAGTCATACAGAATTCTTTATCAAATTGGTATCACTTTCAAAGAAATATTTTAACAAATCAATTTGTCCGAAATGCTTTCGACAATATGAAATTCAAGAGCGACAATGTAAACGATGTTCTACCAATGAGTTTCTAATTCGACCTGACTCATTCGATCATGCTGATGTTATGACATTTCAAATTGATATTGCAGAGAGACTAAAAAATGAATATGTTCTTACACCAGATAATTTTGTCAAAATGCTTCTTATATACATGCGAGTGGAAAGCGGAATTCCAGTTTTAATTATGGGCGAAACAGGTAAGAGAATAGTTCACATAATAACTTTTTTTTTAATGAATTTCTTCTTTAGGTTGTGGAAAAACGGCTTTGATTCAGTTCTTATGTCAAAAGGTTTTGGACGATGATCTGGAAGTTTTTCGCATGCATGCAGGTGTTCAAGATGACAAAATCATCGAAACAGTACAATCCTATAAAAGACAAGCTGAAGAATGCCAAAATCAAAATAAACGATTATGGATTTTTTTCGATGAGTTCAATACAACAAGTAATATTGGTCTTCTCAAAGAAATTATATGCGAAAAAACTCTTCTTGGCGAATCATTACCACCTAACATGGTTTTCTTAGGTGCTTGCAACCCACGACGTAATAAAACAACGAAAATTTTACTTAATGAAGATGGTCAAATTGGATTAAGGAAAAATCGCTATGAAATCCAGAAACTCATTTGGGCTGGCACCGACAGACGTCTCCTGTATACAGTAGTACCCATTCCGGAAACAATGCTCGAATATATCTGGGACTATGGATATCTGAACGAAACAACCGAAAGAGCCTACATTAAGACGATGTTGAACACATGCCATAATCTCTCGTCTGATCCTAAGCTCTTCAACCTTACTGTTGATCTTCTTGCCAATTCTCAAAAATATTTTCGAGAACTTGAAGATGCTAGTAGTGTTAGTCTTCGAGATGTCGCTCGATTTTGTCGTCTATATAATTGGTTTCTTGATTCACTAAGTCAACGTGCTCATGCAAGTGGATCGCACAAAAAATCGCATTCTTTTCTTCGTCGATCTAGTTTAATTGCATTATTACTTTGTTATTATTTTCGATTACGTTCGGTTAAATTACAAGAATTATATATTGACCAAATGCAATTGATTATGGCCCATGAGAATCCAAATATAAAGAAGGTTCCTAACTACTTGACGAAATATGTTCTTGAAACTGAACAAAAGAAATTAATTGATGAAAAGATGGAATTACCAGCAGGTACAGCTCCTAATCGAGCACTACGTGATAATATATTTGTTCTCTTTGCTTGCATTGTCAATCGTATACCTCTCTTCTTGTGTGGCAAACCTGGCAGTAGCAAATCATCGGCAGTTCAAATAGTAATCAGCAATCTCAAAGGCAAAAAATCAAGAGATCCATATTTTCAAACACTACCAGAATTGGTGGCTGTCTCTTTTCAAGGTTCCCAAAATTGTACGTCTGAGAGTATTATTAAGGTTTTTGAGCGTGCTGCAAATTATACTCGAGTGAAAGATCAATCTGAATTATTACCAGTGATCGTTTTCGATGAAATTGGTCTTGCCGAACTTTCTCCACATAATCCATTGAAAGTATTACATGCTGAACTTGAAATTGAAAATAATCAATACGGATTTGTTGGTATATCTAATTGGCGACTTGATGCTTCAAAAATGAATCGAGCTCTCTATCTATCGACTCCTGATCCAGATGTGAAAGACCTCGAACTCACGGGTAAAATAATCGCTGATAGCATGCAACAACAATCAGAAGGACGAATTATTCAGCTGGAACCAATCATTATTGAAAGTCTTTCTCAAGCTTATTTTGATCTTTATGAAAACCTCAAAGAAACACAACCCGATCATGAAAATTATTTTGGTCTTCGAGATTATTATTCTCTTATCAAAGGTATTGTTCGTGATTTAATGGCAATGAAAAACGAAGCAAACACATACGAAATCGTACGACGACAACTAAAAGCCAATTTTGATGGTGTTCTTGATGGATCATCGTTATTATGGCAACATTTTTGTCAATATATCAATAAGCAAAATCTCTATAACGAATACCCATGTCCTCCTTTTAATTTTCTTCTCGAGCAGAGTCTTAATGCTCGCAGTGGTCGATATTTGATGCTTATAGCGGACAGTGAAAGTGCGATCGACTATGTTGAACGTTTCATTAACGTTCATCAACAGAAACAAAACATAGGAGTACGTACTTTGGTAGGTAGTTCTTTTCCTGGTGATCTTCTTTCTGGAAATACGTATGCTGAACAATACAACTATCGAGTTTTGATGGATGTTATTCTATATGCTGAGACACATATTACTTTGATCATGCGTCAAATGGGTCACGTATATGATAATCTTTACGATCTTTTCAATCAAAATTTTGCGGTTTCAGCAAGAAAAAAATACTGTCGTATTGCTTTAGGTGCACTTTATCATCCACGTTGTCTTGTTCACGACGATTTTTATTGCGTTGTATTTATTCATAAACGAGATTTGGACAAATGTGATCCACCTTTTCTCAATCGTTTTGAAAAACATCTGATCGATATTGAAACTTTGATTCATCCACGACATAGATCAGTAACAAATGACTTACATATTTGGCTTGAAACTTTACTACCAAAGAATCTTGGAAAACATTTCCCCCTCTTGCAACATTTGTTTGTCGACTATAGTCAAGATCAAATTTGTAATCTCGTCATTGAGACTTTCGAACAATTAAAAATACCTATCGATAATGAGGAAGCAGATAAAAGACGACAAAATGTTATTGATCAATGTCAAGCAAAGTTGCTTCGCACCAGTTCATTTGATCTACCTCTAGTTCTTTCTCTCCAACAAAGTCCCGAGAACCAAAAATTAATTGATCAATATTATCATGTTCATGAGTCAATTAGTTTTGCGAAACTTCTTGAACAATCACTTGAAAACCATGTTAACATGATTCCACGTATTATTTACACGTATACACAAACCTTTCACACAATTGATGCATTACCTAATGTTGTGGAAGAAATCAAATTGAGTACTTTCAAGACAGAACTTGAACTGACAAATAAAATTAAACGACATTACCAAGCATTAACGAATATTCGTCTTCTGTTAATTCGAGTTGATTATCATAGTGCACATCAACATATTCTCTCATTGAAACATGTTTTACTTAATGAGCACGTACATACAAGCAACCAAAGTGTCTGGTTAATATTTCATTTGAAACGAAATTTACTCAATCAAATTACCAACGATGTCTTATTTAGTAACTGGCCTGCTAATATGATTGATGATCTCAATACTCATGTTTTTATTCCAAAGAATATACTTGAAAATCCTTCGTATCGTGATCTAGTTTTACAACCACAGTATTCTCTCAGTGAATGTACATTTGATGATCTCGTTGATCGATGTCTATCGAAATTCCGCTATACTGTTCCGCATAAAAACGATGAACGACTAATTAATACTAGGCGCCATAGAATTTTTCAACAAATAATTCAACATACTGATAACTCAAGATCGAAAGAACTTCATCTGCGTTCAATTCTAGAAGAGAATTTTATGATGTTAATTCAAAAGATTGAAGTCTCTAGCACTACACGGTTTACTGATTGGCGACTCGATCTTCTAACAAATGGTAAAACGATTGCTGGTTCTCGCTCATTTTATGATGCTTTTCAAGCAACTATTTCATCGTTTCACGAAACATATCTCTTTCTTCTTTTGGCTCATTTCGAAGAACATAATTTCATTGATTCTTATAACTTCATTTCAAGTGTTAATGATAAAAATGTTCAAGAATATTTATCAAAACTGTGGAAACAATGTTTGACAAAGACGCTAGAAAATATTGACTTGACAATAATGAATCGTGATATAATTGAAATTCAACTTTCTTTCGATCTCAAATTACCTTGTGCAACTATCGAATACGAAAATATTCGAAACATCCGAGAAAAACTTCGCCAATTAGAAGATGATGATAATAATAATGAGACCTTCGATCATTTTAATTTTGTTATCAATCAAATAAAGACTACAAGTGTTTATGGAGAAAATTTTATGGAACTTGTCTTCAGTGATGCACAATTTTTTGAATTTTATTTTCATGATCAAATTGCTCTCCATCTCATAGAGACAAATATTCATCTTTCACCAAAATTTGCTTTTGATCTGTTGGCAAGCAATTCGACTCGTTCATTTGAACAAAACGCTCGATTATTTCTTGTACAATATGTCGAGTTCACAGAAATTCTTCGATTATTCGAAATAGGTTTACAACTGATTAATGAAGAAGAAATTCGTAATGAAATTCAAAAGCAACTGATCAAAAATCCTATTGGCAATATAAAACCTTCAAAATTTTATTCACTTGTTATAGCCAATGAACAATTCTATCAACTTCCACCACAAACAACGACAATTGAAGATAAATGGGTATTTAAATGTAAAGGTAATCCAATGATTGAAACTAGCTTAATGAACTTGATTGAATTGATTCTTTCACCATTGATTATCGATCGCACAAATAGTATTCAACAAGTTACAACAACCTACAGTTTAATAGCACAATGGATTCGTGATTTACCGTCGTATTGGGTCAATAATCTTGAGAAACTTCGTTCATTCATTAGTCTTATTCGTTGTCTTAATGCTTTGCTTCCTGAAAAAGCTCTTGATATTTTCAAAAGTGTCTGTAAGCAAGGATTTGATGCTAGATTTGATTCATGTCAATCAATACATCAGTTTATTAGTTATCTACAAGACATTATCAAAGCAGAAAGAACTATCGCAAATGAAAATGTTCTTCATCGAACATTGCTCAAACTCGAAGTCGAATTTTTGAAAGATTGGTTAGCTGATAACGGTGATTCATATGGCGAAATTTTGGTTTTGATAAATAAAAATGATAACGATCTGTGGTATTATTCAGCCAAAATCTTTACATATATTGATAGAAAGCTTGATTTACTCTCAACATTGAAAGAAAGTCATGGAAATCTACCTTTGACTGAAGAATACGAACAATTTAATCACTGCCTTGAAATTGCAAACAATGCGACATATAAAGTAGAACGATTAATGGTAAATAGATTTCATATGCACTTGATGCGGGATGCTCGAGGAGATGAAATTGATCAGCAACTAACGGAAAATTACATACATTTTGAACAGAATTTGCATGACATTCAAAATATAGAAAAAGAAAATGATTTAAAACTGATTTCAATGCTTGCTTGGCTCAAATATTATACTCAGATATATGCATTCGCTTTGAACGTTGATAGTCGACAAGATGTTCTTCGCAAAATCGATCAACTACTAACAAACATCAATACTCCATTTTGTTCAACATTGAAATTATTTATTTTTAAACAAATTCTACAAATATCAGGACTGAATCTAAATGATATGCGTGAATTGTACGCTAATCGTAATATTATTTGGATCAAACCATTTATTCAATGTCCGCGAGATCAACAAGCTCAAAATATTCGCCGAACTCTCATTCTACCAACTCCACTTTTCGAATGTCACGAAGAATTTAAACGAGTTAGTCAAGTTCTCAACGAAGTGGACAAAATGAATAAATTGCGACAGATGATTCATCAATGTAATACATCACAAAAGTTAAACTATGCCTTTTTGTCTTGGTTTATTCAATACTACTGTCGTTTTATTCAGCCAAATACGGCTGTTGACGGTACATTTATTCAGCTTATTCAACATGATTTGAGCCAAGATTTTATCCGTTCCTTTACACCATTAGGACACAAATTACTTGTTTCGCTATGCTCGAATTTTTCGGACAATTCTTATTTTCGTCTTCATGCTAACATGATACCGAATGAAATTCATAAACGATTAGTTGCTTTAAATATTGTCGCTGTATTTATATCCTTAAAATCACTACCAGAAATAACCTGTCTTGGAAATATCCTTTTTAATAATCAGCGACAGATACCTAACAATTACATCCAACATCTGTCAAGCCTCTGCTTACCTGGTATGACGGTTAGCGATCCTGTCGTTACTCAAATGATGGATGTACGCACTCAAGTTCAAGATCGTCTCAATCGAGGCATAATTCACGATGGAGGAAAATTTATTTTTCAATGTTCACGGGAATGTCCATGGATGTTCTATTTTCAGGACTGTGGCATTCCAAACGATCGAAACATATGTACATTATGCAAAAAGCCAATCGGTGCTGAACGATACAACGTTCTAATTCAACGTGATCCTCCTCAAATCAAGATGTCCATTGCCGAAGGCTTCCAAATAATTGATCAACATCTCAATAGATACAATCAGACAATTCATCTCGGATATCATAATGTCAAAACTCATGAAACGAGCACCATTGGAGAAAAGCCTGATCATTTGAATCGACCCGTTTCGTTTCGTTTTATTCACTTGATCACACATGGTCTTCTACTTTTTCTGCATGATTTCAATTATTTGACGGATGATGATTTGACACAACGTCTCAAATTGTCAACAAGTACACATTTTCGTGATCATTTTGAAAAAGACTATGCTCTTCTCGCTCAATCATCAACAGATAATCATCAATGTTATATTTGGCTCTACAAGCTTCTCAATCATCTTATTAGTGATGATTTTGCTAAGCGTGGTCTAATGAATACAAATCAACATGTTCTTCAATTAGAACAAATGATTGAGCAGAAGATTATTTTTGCACATATCGATTCAATAACTAATGAAATTTCAGAATACAAGAAAGCTTATGTTCAATTTATTCAAGAACGTGATTCAAAACCATCACTCGACAGTTTCATTGATGAATTATTTGAAGATGAAAAACAATTTCCTCTTTTAAATTTTTTTAATGTCACAACATTTCACACTTCAAATCTACTGGATGAATTCATTTTGAGAATGCAAACACTTCCGTATGCCGAAAGATCCTATCCAGTTACCACATTTATTTTCAAACGTTTCAACGATTACATCAATATTCAACATCTTTATCCAATTATTATTTTTAGTAATTATCTTATTGACAAACTCAACTATCGAATCAAAAGAAATGATGCAGTTGAAAAGAAAATTATTTATTATTTAACAACAGGCAATGATCAACACATAATACAACAATACTATGAAGACTTTTTACATGCTTGGTATGCATTGAATTTAAAAGAAGTTCGCTATGGATGTCAAACGCCTAAATTCGAATTGAGTGTTACAAAAGAAAAGTTTGCCGAGAGTACTAGTATTGCAACACTCTTATTGAATACATCGAAAGATGAAAGTAGTCTTCTTCTTGCTGCATCTATCAAAACTATTGCTGAATTGCAAAATGAAATAGTCAATTATTTTCACAATACAATCGAACATGTTATCAATACAGAAACAAAACGCAAACAAGTACCAGTTCAGTCTATTCGACTGGACAATATTCTGCGTCTTGATCGAAACGAATTAAGTCAAAAATTAGTCAATGACAGTCTTGTCTTGAACTATCAGTATGGAAAAAGCAAAGATATTATCTATGATTATGAAGAAATCGAAATGACACTTCGAAATATGATCAGTTCTTTAGTATTGATCGATACCGATAAATTACGCTTTCTCAACTATCAATTCGAATTGTATAGTGAAAACACATCGCTGATCAATGATGTTCGTACTCGTATCAAACAGCAACAATTACCAAACGATGAACGAACTAGATTACATCGTCTTCTTGTAGGAATGAATAATGATGATATTCTTAATTATCTCGGTTCACTTGACTACGTTTTTACCTATTTACGAAATAGTGTACCAGAAAATGCTACAGAGACTACAACAATTCAAACATTCGTTGAGCAGCATATCCATGCATATGCTTGTTTAAACGATAATATTCTTCGACGACCACCATTTTCTACAATTCAATTACGATATATTATTGATTTGTATGAAATGATTGAAGAAAATGCCTTTGATCAAGTCTTACGTGCTTATGTGAAAAAAGAACTTGTAGAAGAAATGTTTTCAGATGAAGAACGACAACGTGTCCTACTAGTATTTGCTCGTAAAACATTTGAAAAAGAAACAATTGCTGAAACATTGAAAAGTATTGATGGTTGGATTTCGATGCTCAAACGATTAATGATTCGTGTATTGAATGCTAATGTTAGTCTTGATGTTCCACTTCAACTCTATCTTGAACGAACCGATTTATGGAGTGATCGTGTGAGCGATGTTGATCTTGAAACCTTTCAAGTTGATGATGATATTCTTCTTCAACATACCTATGTCATCCTAAGAGGTTTAGAAAAGAAGCAACTGATGAATAACAAGTCATCGCAACAACAAAGAGTATCAGAAATTCAAAGTACAGAAGGACAACGACAAAAAGTTCAGACATGGTTCGATACAACAGCTAGATCGACAACAGCTCCCAAAGTGATTGCTGATAAAAAAGGAGATAAACCAAAGATTCGTGTGTGATCTATTGCTTTTTTTTGTAATTTATTAAAAGAAGTTATTTGAAAAAAAAGTATTCCTAAGATTGTGTGATGTACATGAATAATTTACATGAACAAAGCACACATTAGAACATTGAATTTAACCCTAACAGTTGCTGAAATAATCAAACAGTACGGAATTTCAGAACAGATAATGGTTTCTAGATGACATTACCCATCCAGACAGGATGTGGGCGTGAGTGTGGTCGTTTGTGCAAGTGAAGAAAATATAAACACTAACACTCGCACCCACTTCCATACCCAAGCCACACTGATACCCATATTTACACTCACATTCACGCCTATAGTTCCACACACCCACACTCTCCCAAATCGAAAGAGAAAATAACGTTTAACAAATAATTAAATAGCTTGTATGCATGTTGTCGAATTATTTGTATTCCAGCTAATAAAAACATATAAATGAAATACTCCATCGGAAAGAACAGAACAATTTGATTTAACTATTGGTCATCTATTCAAAGGCATACAACTTTGACTGTTGAGACTACTTGACAATATTTCAAGCTAAACAATAATTATCGATAGAAATCATTTAATAATATGGCAAAGCATTCTTATTGACTGATTATGTTTTATACGGGTGTCTTCTTATATATTTCGGTTTTATTAATAGAAAAAAAGAGTACAAGAATCTTCTGTTTGTCAAAATTCTTGAGTGTTGCTAGCAATAATTCATGCAAACAAATCCTTTTCTAAACATGATTATTGACGCATACTTTGATATCAATTGAATTGATAACATATCGGTTAACATAACTGCAAGATTTAACTTTAAGTTTTTTTCTTAGTTTTAAAAGTATGTCATTATCTCGACTTATCGATCAATTCGTAATCAAGTAAAATATTTTTTTTTAAGAGATTTGGGTGCGGGTGTCGTGGGTGTGGATATTTGATCGAGTGTCCTCTGTTTCTAGACCCACACCCACACCTACACTCACACGCCCACACCCACACTAGGGATGAGAAAGTTATTGTTATTGTTATTAATAACAATAACGTTAACTTTTTGATTCAAAACAATCAATGAAGCAAATCTAAGCATAGTTTGTATGCGCGTCAAAAGATTACTTTAGTAATACAGTATCTTTTCTTACCATTTGATATAAGAACTTGCGGTAAATATTTTGAGAAATACTAACATAATATATTTTGTTATTGTTATTGCTATTGCTATTGTTATTTAACAATAACAGTAACAAAATATGTTATTTTGAAATTTCTCAAAATATTTACCAGAAGTTTTTATATCAAATGGTAAGAAAAGACACTGTATTAGTAAAGTGATCCTTTGATGTTCGTACAAACTACGCTTAGAATTGTTTCATTGATTGTTTTGAATCAAAAAGTTAATGTTATTGTTATTAATAACAATAATAATAACAATAACTTTCTCACCCCTAACCCACCCCCACCCACACCCTCAGTCGTATAAACCCTTTGATAAACCTTTCTATTATGTGTATTTTAACTATATAAACCATTTTATTTAGTCTTTTAATGGGTAGATGAAAGAGTTTATCACATTCTGATAAACGGTAGAAAAGGGTTTGTCATACGTTGCATTTTCATAAACCCTTTAAGCGTTTATCACTCGACGCATTTTTTTCCAGTGCAGTTGTGGTAGTTCTTACTCACATCCTCCACATCCTCCACATCTGCACAATCGTAATAGATATTTTTCTCGTCCTGAGTCTCAATGTCTTTTTTCTTCTCTTCCATCGAGGGTTCTGTATATTTGCATTTCTTATCGCTCCCAATGCGCTGTCTTCGTAATTGGCTCGCACAACCATAATATATTTTTCTCCTGGTTCGTAGTATTGTTTTATTCGCTCTCTCATCGACCGTTCCTTATTTCCTAGATTGAAAAGTCTAGGATCTGGCAAGTGAAATAAAAACCAAAAATGTCTGTCTATCTGTAACACGTTTTTAAAACCACTATGCGGGTGGTTCTCCGTGACTGTGTTATTGTTTTTATTTTGGTATATTTCTAGAAATCTGTTCTATTGTTGAATTTAATTTTTTTCTTGGTATTTAGGTTTGATTCAACGAATCAATTTTCTGCATTGTGATCAATGACTTTTCGCTTGTTTAACAATTGATTTTTGCATTTCTTGTTTATTCGACTTTGATTTTTTGACAATTGAATTTTTTTTGAATGATCGATTATTAGACTTTTGTACAAATCAATTTTGACTTTTCAGATTTGAATTTTGTTTTCGACGATTAAATTTTTGTTTTCCGACTATTGAATATTGACATTTTGACAAGTAAGTTTTGGGTTTTTCGACGATTGAATTTTCCCTAGACTGAAAAGTCTAGTGTCTGGAGAGTGAACTTAAAACCAAAATTGTCCGTCTGCCTATTTGCAACACATTTTTTTAAACCGCCGTCTACGTAAATATGATGAATGTTTTATTTTTTATTTTCTTACGATTTTTAAAACTATTTTTTCTGCCGTTTCTGAAATTTTGAGCATTCAATTATGATATTTTTACACCTAAATTTTATACATTATATCTTTCAATTGTGAATTCTACTGACCATTCAATTTTACATTTTTACAACCAGGCAGATTTTTGAAACAATTTTAAGGAACAATATTTCAGATTATATTTGCTAGACATTTTATGAGTTAAAATTCATTCGTTTTTCACCACAGATAGTCTTCTAACATAGCCACCAAAAATACAGACTTTTCTACGCTTAAATCTGACTTGTTGAACATTGTCGTTGACGATGAAAAGCAATTCAAATAATCCTTCGCTGTCATATATCGTGATTGAGATGTTAATATCCTGTTCTGGATATTGTGGTCTATGAACAAAATTGGATTTTTCAATCTTTGAATGTTATATTTTGATATCATTGATTTATCATTTGTTTAAACCATTGGCATTTTTAAGATAATTTTTGTTAGAGTGAAATGTTTGGAGTTTAAAAAAATTGAATTAACACAAAAAATGTATTTGTTTGTCTTTGTATGCAATGTCTATCTGTAAAATGTTTTTATAGCAGTATTCGAATTTTTGGTTTTTTTAAAATCATTTTGGAGATACATTAAAAGGATGGAACAATATTTTAGTGTTAAGTCAATTGTATATACTCTTTCTTTCTTTGACCAAAACACTTCACTTACATCCTGCTGGCATAACTCATCTTTCATTAAAAATTACATCATAATACTTAAATCTATGAAAATGAAACAACAAACACAAATCTACTCTTGGCAATTTTATCAACATATTCGATCATGTCCTATTTAATCCTTTTCATTCTAGGGATAAGTGAATCGGTATCCGACAAACGTTAGTTGTTTGATATTCTTATCGGTTTCAATGAGCCGGCGTGTGATCGACACCGGTAAGGCTGTTAGGATTTTCGCGTACTCAGCGAAGAAACAGATCTGTTAGATAACACTTTTTGATGCGAATAACCAGTGAAAAATTTCGATGATTGAACTTGATTAAAATTGAAAAATTCTAGAAGCATAATCTTAATAAAAAAACCCGATTATTCTGCACCAAAGGGTGTGGGTGTGGGCGTGGGTCTGGGTGTGGGTGTGGGTGTGGGTGTGAGTGTGGGGTGTGGGTGTAGGTGTGGGTGGGTGTGGNTAAATAGAATTCACTGAGATATATGGTAATAAAAAATTTCAGCTCAGTTGGTTGAGCCATTCGTGAGATATCATTGCATTAGGACCCCCATTTATATATATGGTCATTTTTAGGCCTTTTCGTAAAACGCTCATAAAAAATTGAAGGTTCAATATTTTTTGAATCGGCTTGCGTCAAAAATCATAAAACTCTTCCCTCTATAACATATCTTAAATTGAGAAAAATCTGACGACATCGATTGAGCAGGGTCTCTATGAAGTCGGTCGTGGCTTATATGGACTGGCTCATATATAGATTATATTTTTTTTTCAAGAAAAATAATATCGATTTGAATTTATTTTATGTTTAATAGCTGTCAAAGGATCGTTTGGACAACAGGCAATTATAAATGATGAAACATTGACTGAGAATAATATAGAATCACAAGATGAACCAGGTATTTCAGACATACATTCTATATCTTGTTAGTATTTTATGCTCTCGTCTTTTAGCATCTCCTGATCAAATTCAAGTCGAGATTGGAAATGTGACAATTGAACCGACAAAGTTAAAATGTATAGAGCTCCTAGAAATGACTGTTCAAGTCCTTGGTCTATTTCAGGATAAACTACAATATATATGTGCATCACGACAAAAAAATTCAGTTCAAGATATTATACGCTTATTTCCCGATATTAAACAAGCTGAGAATGATATGAACCAGTTGCAACCATTACTTGATGCTGAAGCTCTGCCACAACTTCTTTTGATTGTTTCATTCTGGAAAAATCGTTTACGCATTCGTGATATCTGCATGGGTTTAAATTTGTTGAGCAAAGCGGTTCCTGCTAGTTTTGATTCAACTTTATTTGATCGTGTTTGTGCTATGAATGAGACAACATCGAGTGAAGAATGCGCTCTTGTTTATCAAAAGTATCGAGATCAAATCGAGAAACAATTTTCTGACAACATGTTGACACTATTTTCCTACTATAGTTCAGCATCAGATCTATTTGATTTTCTTCGTTCACTTTCTGCCGATGATGTTTACAATTTGCAAGAGGCTGTTAATGATTGGGAGGAAACATTAGTCAGCACAAAGATTGTTCTTGAGTTCGCTACGGTCAAGAACTTTATTGATCGTGTTTATGCTACTATAACAGTCAAATATCAGGAATTGATAAATACGCCATTGAAACTGAATGATATTGGTACCTGCTTCACTAACGTATGGGAAAATGAACAATTTAAAGATTTACTCACATATCTTGAATCATCATCTTTAGCATTATCGAGCATTAAACGTATTCATTTGGAATTAGTCGACAAAGAACAATCGAAACGACGTCGAATAGCCGATATTCTACAGAAGTCTACTGTGTATTTCATTCGTATTGGATACAACGAAACAACATTTGATGTTAATGTAGAACTTCCATCTCAGAAGACAACTACGATCGATGAAAAGAAAGAACAAAAGATAAAGTGGGCCGATTTAAGTGAACTTCGTGATCGTGCACGTCTTCTTGAGTATTCAAGTAATGTCAACAAGAGAAATATTCCTGATACTGACAGTGAACGTGAAAAAGAAAAGTTACGCAATTTTATTCAATTTGCTAACATTCTTGAATCTACTATTCAAATTCTGACAAGTCTGTATATTGCAGGTCATCCGTCTGTTTCAGATTTTCTTGTCAATCAGACGTCAATGTCAGAATTACTTGTTGATCAAAAAACATTTGCTTGTAATAACGGATCTTATGATGATTTACTAGGATATAATAAAATACTAATAAAATTATTCGATGCTTGGGAAAATAAATTGTGTACTATGTATAAAACAAACATTAATTTGACTTATTTCTCAGGCAATCAATTGTGGCAAATTGAAGATTATATTTACAGTCGTTCTTCAGTATCGCATCCCGGATATCATCTTCTCAAGTTTATTGGCATCGATCCAAACTCGATCGAACAACCACAAATCAAACAACAAATTCCAGAAGATCGATTAGAGAATCTTGGACATTTGCTTTCTCAAAGACAAGAAAATTCTGCTCCGAGAGAAGAAAGTCCAAAAATAAAAAAATGTGTCCTTGCCGAAACAACCAATGAAGGGATTCTACGTGCTATTCTTTCGCTGTTCTCGTTGACAAACACTATACCTTCAGTTTATCGTATTCTTTATTGTACTCAACGTACAAATTGGATTCAAGTACGTGCATTCATCTACCGATGTTTTTATTCCCAATCATTTCATCAACTTATTCGACCTGAACTTCTTTCACAGTCTGTTCAAGATCAATTTATTAGCCTGTTACGTACGTTAGTGAAGCAGAAATCTAGTCAATTTTTTCGAATAGGTATTATTACAACGACCACACTAGCAGGACAACAAATGATCAATGGACTTCAATCGATGCAAATTCTTCAAATTTATCGTGATAGTGAATTGCTTAACGTGACTGAATTTTCTACAGTTCTCAAACAAATGATTCGTGGTTGTCAATTGACTACATCACGTATTGCTGGCCTGGGAAAATCAAGTGTGATTCGACACACTGCTATAACGTTAAACAAGAATTATGTCAAATTTCCAATATCTGGTGATTTTGATGTTGATATATTAGCTGAAAGACTCACTTCCAAATGTCCGCAACTTCAAAACGCAGCTCTTCATCTTGATATTGGATCAATTCATAATATTCAACAATTAAATGAAGTTCTCTATTGTGTTATTCTATTTAGAACTTTTCGTTTTGGACAAGTAGCTGTTTCAATACCTGCCGATACTTTAATCTATATTGAACTTGACTCGTCACCTCAATCTACTCTACATGAAATCTCGCTTTTTCAGTACATACCATCATTGATTTATGTCGATCGTGTCGACTGGAACAAACTAAATGTAAAGAGTCCTGATATTCAGACTGTTGCCAAGTATATGCAAGCAATCACTATGGGAATTATCATTAAGCAAGATGTTGATCTTTCGAATTTAAAAGAATTGGATGCAGTAGCAGTTTCTTGTCTCATTCAAGGTCACTTTCTTGAAAAGAAAAATTTAGATTTTATTACGTGGACTCAACTATCGATCTTCATCACCGTTTTCTATCGTCTATTCACAAGTTTTTCCCTTTGTAGTTTCTTTTTTGTCAAATGGGTTCCTCGTCGAGAATTACGTATGGATCTTGTTCAAACTTTACTTCGATCTTCAAATCAATTCACATCTCTCTCGGTTGAGGCTGTTCGAAAACAACAACGAGCGGTTGCCAGTGATACACCGCAAGAGTTCAGTGATGCCATCGTTCGATGGGACACAGTCCAACCTTTCATACTAATCTTCACAGATACTCATGAACCATTGTTTATTTATAAGAAAACGAAGGATATTCCTCCAGCACTTATCGAATATTTTAAAATTTATTATCAAGTAACAGGTCAAAAAAAAGAATTGGCAGAAAACATCATGTTTCCTGATTATGACAATCTTACTCATGTAGAATTCTTTATCAAATTAGCGTCACTATCAAGAAAATATTTCAATAAATCAGTTTGTTCAAAATGTTTTCGACAATATGAATATAAAGACAGACAATGCACACATTGTCTCAATGTTGATCTTATCCGACCTGCATCATTCAATGATTCTGATATTATGGTATTTCAAATTGACATTGCAGAGAAGCTAAAAAATGAATATGTTCTTACACCAGATAATTTTGTTAAAATGCTTCTTATCTATATGCGAGTACAATGTAGAATTCCGGTTTTGATCATGGGCGAGACAGGTAAGAAAATATATTATTTTATAGCAATGTCTCAATGAATTTATTCTATAGGATGTGGAAAAACGGCATTGATTCAGTTCTTGTGTCAAAAGATACTCGATGATGAACTTGAGGTTTTTCGTATGCATGCAGGTGTTGAAGTCGATAAATTAATCAAAATAGTACAATCCTATATGCGACAAGCTCAGGAATGTAAAACTCGAAAAAAACGCTTATGGGTCTTTTTTGATGAGTTCAATACGACCAATAATATTGGTCTTCTCAAAGAAATCATCTGCGAAAGAACTCTTCTGGGCGAACCGTTACCATCGAACATGGTTTTCTTAGGTGCTTGCAACCCTCGACGCAATAAAACAAATAAAATTCTAATCAATGAAGATGCGCAAATCGGATTAAGACAAACTCGATATGAAATGCAGAAACTACTTTGTGCAGGTACCGACCGACGACTCTTGTATACAGTAGTACCTATTCCGGAAACAATGCTTGAATATATTTGGGACTATGGATATCTAAATGAATCCACAGAGCGAGCCTATATTAAAACGATGCTGAATACATGTCGTGATCTTTCGTCGAATTCAACGCTGTTCAACCTTACCGTTGATCTTCTTGTGAATTCTCAACAACATTTTCGCGAACTTGAAGATGCTAGTAGTGTGAGTCTTCGAGATATCGCTCGATTTTGTCGTTTATACAATTGGTTTCTGGAGTCATTAACTCAACGATCTAAAGTAGGCGAATTAAAGAAAAGCACTCAAAACTTTCTTCTTCGAGCAACTTTTATTTCTTTACTACTTTGCTATTATTTCCGGTTACGTTCTGTTAAATTAAAACAAATATATATCGAAAAGATGCAAATGATTATAGCTCAAGAATATCCACGTATTAAAAAGGTTCCTGATTATTTAACAAGAGGCATTCTTGAACGTGAACAAAAGAAATTAATTGATGAAATGATGGAATTACCAGCTGGTACAGCTCCTAATCGAGCATTGCGTGATAATATATTTGTTCTCTTTGCTTGTATTATCAATCGTATACCTCTGTTCCTTTGTGGTAAACCAGGTAGTAGTAAATCATCGGCAGTTCAAATAGTGATCAGCAATCTCAAAGGCAAAAAGTCGAAAGATTCATATTTTCAAACATTGCCCGAACTTGTGGCTGTTTCGTTTCAAGGCTCTCAAAATTGTACGTCCGAGAGTATTATTAAGGTTTTTGAACGTGCTGCAAATTATACTCGAGTGAAGAGTATATCTGAATTATTGCCAGTAATTGTTTTCGATGAAATTGGTCTTGCCGAACTTTCTCCACATAATCCATTGAAAGTATTGCATGCCGAACTTGAAGTTGAAAATAATCGATATGGATTCGTTGGCATATCTAATTGGCGACTTGATGCTTCGAAAATGAATCGAGCTCTCTATTTATCGACACCAGATCCAGATGTTAAAGATTTGCAACTCACAGGTAAAATAATCTCGGACAGTATGCAAAAACAGACAAACGTACAAATAATTGAATTTGAACCAATCATTATTGAAAGTCTTTCTCAAGCCTACTATGATCTTTATGAAATTTTAAAAGAAACACAACCTGATCATCAAAACTATTTTGGTCTTCGAGATTATTATTCTCTAATCAAAGGTATTCTTCGTGATTTAATGGTAATGAAACACAAAGCAAACTTATATGAAATTATTCGACGTCAATTGAAAATTAATTTTGACGGTGTTCTTGATGGATCATTACTCTTGTGGCAACACTTTTGTGATAATATTCATAAACAAAATCTTTTTAACGAATACAATTGTCCATCATTTGATTTTCTTCTCGATCAAACTCTTAAGGCACGTACTGGTCGATATCTTATGCTTATAGGTGATAGTGAAAGTGCTATCGATTATGTTGAACGTTTCATTAACGTTCATCAAAAGAAACTAAATGTGGTGGTACGTACACTAGTAGGTAGTTCATTTCCTGGTGATCTACTTTCTTTAAATACATATGCCGAACAATACAATTATCGAGTTTTAATGGATGTTATTCTCTATGCTGAGACAAACATTACTCTTATTATGCGTCAAATGGGTCATGTATATGATAATCTTTATGATCTATTCAATCAGAATTTTGCAGTATCAGCCAAAAAGAAATATTGTCGTATTGCTTTAGGTGCACTCTACCATCCACGTTGTCTTGTTCACGACGATTTCTATTGTATTGTTTTTATTCATAAACGAGATTTGGATAAATGTGATCCTCCATTTCTTAATCGTTTCGAAAAACATTTGATCGATATTGAAGCTTTGATTCATCCACAACATAGATCAGTAGCCAATGATTTACATATGTGGCTTGATGGTTTGCTACCAAAGAATATTGGAAAACATTTTCCACTATTACAACATTTATTTGTCAACTATAGTCAAGATCAAATTTGTAATCTTGTTATTGAAACATACGAACAATTGGATATATCTATTGATGGCGAAGAAGCGAATGATAGACGGCAACAGGTTATGAATTATTGTCAAGAACAATTACTTCGTACTAGTTCATTTGATCTACCGCTAGTTCTTTCTCTCGAAAAAACTCCTGAGAATCAAAAACTGATTGATCAATATTATGATGTTCATCATTCAATCAATTTTGCCGAACTTATTCAACAATCACTTGAAAATACTACTAACATAGCTCATCATATTATTTACACGTATACACAAATTTTTCACACAATTAATAAATTACCAAATAATGTTGAAGAAATCAAATTGAGTACTTTTAAGACAGAACTTGAGCTAACAAATAAAATCAAACGCCATTATCAAGCATTAACAAATATTCGTCTTCTTTTAATTCGAGTTGATTATCATAATGAACATCAACATATTCTCTCACTGAAACATGTATTACTTAATGAGCATGTACATACAACTGATCGAGGTGTCTGGTTAATATTTCATTTGCAACGAAATTTGCTCAATCAAATTACTAATGACGTTTTATTTAGTAAATGGCCTGCTGAGATGATTGACGATCTCAATAATCATACATTTATTCCAAAGGAAATACTCGAAAATTCTTCGTATCGTAATCTAGTTCTTCAACCGCAATATATCCTTACTGAATGTGTATTTGATGACCTTATCGATCGATGTTTATCAAAATTTCGCTATGTCGTTCCGCATAAAAATGACGAACGACGAATTAATACAAGGCGTGAGAACAATTTTCAACAAATAATTCAACAGAAGAATAAATCAATATCGAAAGAGTTCCATCTTCGTTCGATTGTAGAAACAAATTTGATCAGCCTAATACAAAAGATTGAAGCTTCTGAAAACAGACGTTTTACTGATTGGCGCCTTGACCTTCTAACAAATGGTAAAACCATTGCTGGTTCTCGTTCATTCTATGATGCTTTTCAAACAACAATTTCAAATTTTTATGAATCATATCTCTTTCTTCTTTTGGCTCATCTCGAACAACATAAGTTCATTGATGGTTATAATTTCATTATAAGTATTAGTGATGAAAACGTTCAAAAATATTTAGCAAAAATGTGGAAGAATTGTTTAGAAACGACTCTAGAAAATATTGATATGACAATAATAGATCGTGATATGATTGAAATTCAACTCATTTTTGATCTTAAATTACCTTGCGCAGCAATCGAATACGAAAAAATTCGTAATATTCGAGAAAAAATCCAGCAATTAGAAGCTAATGATAATGAATCGACCGTTCCCATAAATTTCGTCATCGATCAATTGAAGACTACAAGTGTCTATGGTGCAGATTTTATAGGACTCATTTTCACTAATCAATATTTCTTCGAACTTTATCTTCATGATCAAATGGCTTTGCATCTCATAGACACAAATATTCATCTTTCATCAAAATTTTCTTTGAATCTATTATTAAGCAATCCTAATCGTACTATTGAGGAAAATGCATTATTATTTCTTGCACAATATGCTGAATTTACAGAAATTCTTCGCTTATTCGAAATTAGTCTACAATTAGTTAGTGAAGAAGAAATTCGTAACATTATTCAAAATCAATTGATCAAAACTCCTACTGGCAATATCAAACCTTCGAAATTTTATACACTCGTCATAGCTAATCAACACTTCTATCAACTTCCACCACAAACAACAACAATTGAAGATAAATGGGCGTTTAAATGTAAAGGAAATCCTATGATTGAAACAAGTTTAATGAATCTTATTGAACTGATTCTTTCATCATCGATTATTGATCGTACAAATAATATTCAACAAGTCACAACAGTCTACAGTTTAATAGCACAGAGCGCTTGCGATCTACCATCGTATTTGATTAATAATCTTGAAAAACTTCGTTCATTTATCAGTCTTATTCGTTGTCTGACTGCTTTACTTCCTGATAAAGCTCTCGATGTTTTCAAACAAGTTTGTAAGCAAGGTTTCGATGCCAAATTCGATTCATGTCAATCAATTCATTTATTTATTACATATCTACAAGATGTCATTAAAGTCGAAAGACCTACTGCTAACCAGAATATTATTCATCGAACATTAGTCAAACTTGAGGTTGAATTCTTGAAAGATTGGTTAGCTGATAGTGGTGATTCGTATGATGAAATTTTGAGTTTGATGAATCAAGATGATAATGATCTATGGCATTATTCAGCCAAGTTCTTTACATATATCGATCGCAAACTTGATTTACTCTCAATATTGAAAGAAAATAATGGAAATTTACCTGTCGATGATCAATATGAACTATTTAATAACTTTCTAGAAAGAACAAAGAATCCAACGTGTAAAATAGAAAGGTTGATGATGAATAGACTCCATATGAACTTGATGCGTGATGCTCCAGGACATCAAATCGATAAGCAATTAACGGAACATTTTGAACATTTCCAACAGAATTTGCATGAAATCCAAAACATAGAAAAAGTATCGGATATCAAGTCGATCTCAATACTTGCTTGGCTCAAATACTATACTCAGATATATGGATTTACTTTGAATGCTGACAGTAAAGCAGATATTCTGCCAAGAATCGATCAACTACTAACGAATATTGACACTCCATTTTGTTCAACACTGAAATTGTTCATTCTTAAACAAATGCTACAAATATCAGGGCTCAATCTGAATGATACGCGTGCGATTTACGCCAATCGTAATATTATTTGGATTAAACCATTACTTGAACGGCCTCGAGATCAACAAGCTCAACATATTCGTCGCATTCTGACTTTGCCAACTCCTCTTTTCGAATGTCGAAAAGAATTTGAAAGAGTTAGTCAAATTCTCAATGAAGTGAACAAAACTAATGAATTACGTCAGTTGATTGGTCAATGCAATACGTCCCAAAAGTTCAGTTATGCTATGTTATGTTGGTTTATTCAGTACTACTGCCGTTTCATTGAACCCAATGTAAAAGTTGATGACATCATAGTTCAGGAAATCAAACGTAATTTGAGCAAAGATATTATCCATTCATTTACACCATTAGGACATAGATTTCTCGTTTCTTTATGCTCGAATTTTTCAGAAAATTCTTATTTTCGTCTTCATCCTGCCATGTCACCGGATGAAATTCATAAACGTTTAGTCGTCTTAATCGTTGTCGCTTTCTTTATATCTTTAAAATCACTACCAGAAATAACTTATCTTGGAAATATTCTTTTTAATAATCAACGACAAAAACCTAACAATTACGGTGAACATCTTTCAACCGTCTGCTTACCCAGTATGATAATTAGTGATCCAGTCATTACTCAAATGATGGATGTTCGTACTCAAATTCAAGATCGTCTCAAGCGAGGTGTTATACACGCTGGAGGAAAATTTATTTTTCAATGTTCACGAGATTGTCCATGGATGTTCTATTTTCAAGATTGTGGTGTTCCAAACGATCGTAATATATGTTCATTGTGTAAAAAACCCATCGGTGCTGAACGATACAATGTTCTCATTCAACGTGATCCTCCTCAAATCTCAATGTCTATTGATGAAGGTCTGCGAATAATTAATCAGTATATCGATCAATATAATACGACAGCTCGTTTCGGATATCATAATATCAATACTCATAAAACGAGTAATATTGGAGATAAACCTGATCATTTGAATCGACCTGTTTCATTTCGTTTTATTCACCTTCTCACACATGCTCTTCTACTCTTTTTGCATGATCATAATTATTTGACCGATGATGATTTGAAACAACGTTTCAAACTATCAGAAACGACACATTTTCGTGATCATTTTGAAAAAGATTATGATCTTCTAGTTCGATCATCGACAGATACTAAACAATATCATATTTGGCTGTACAAAACTATCGAACACCTTATTAATGACGAATTAGTTAAGCGCGGCCTTATGAATACAAATGAACGTGTTCTTCAAATAGAACAACTTATTGAACAGAAAATCATCTTTGCACATATCGATTCTATGACTACTGAAATTGCTGAGTATAAGAAAGCTTATGCTGAATTTATTCAAGAACGCGATTCGAAACCATCTCTAGAAAATTTCATCGATGAACTATTCGAAAATGAAACACAGTATCCTCTTTTGAACTTTTTTAATGTCACCACATTTCATACTACAAATCCTCTGGATGCATTCATGTTGAAAATACAAACAGTTCCCTATGCTGAAACATCTTATCCGGTCACGATGTTTCTTTTTAAACGTTTTGATGATTATGCTAATATTCAATATCTTTATCCAATCATTGTCTTTACAAATTATCTCATGGAAAAACTCAACTATCGTATCAAACGAATTGATGCAGCTGAAAAAAAAATTATCTATTATTTAACAACGGGGAATGATCAACATATAATGAAACAATACTACGAGGATTTTTTACATGCTTGGTATGCATTAAAATTAAAAGAAGTTCGCTATGGATGTCAAACACCTAAATTCGAATTGCCTGTTGCCAAGGAAAAGTTTGCTGAATCTACTAGCATTGCAACACTTCTATTGAATACATCAAAAGATGAAAGTAGTCTTGTACTTGCTGCATCTATCAAAACTATTGCTGAATTACAAAATGAAATCGTTAATTATTTTCACAATAATATTAATGATGTTATCAATACAGGAACAAAACGAAAACAGATACCACTTCAATCTATTCGACCGGAGAACACTCTTCGTCTAGATCGAATTGAATTAAGTCAAAAATTAGTCGATGATTGTCTTGTTGTTAACTATCAATATGCCAAAGGCAGAGATATAATTTACGATTATGAAGAAATCGAAATGACACTTCGAAATATGATCAGTTCTTTAGTATTAATTGATACTGAAAAATTACGTTTTCTCAATTATCAATTTGAATTGTATAGTGAAAATGCATCTCTCATCAATGATGTACGTGCTCGTATCAAACAACAACAAATGACAAATGATGAACGAGCTAAATTACAGCGTCTTCTTGGAGCAATGAGTAACGATGATATTCTTAATTATCTCGGCTCACTTGACTACGTATTTACCTATTTAAGAAATATTGTACCAGAAAATGCTTCAGAAACTACAATGATTCAAACATTTGTTGAATACCATATTCATTCATACACTTGTTTAAATGATAATATTCTTCGTCGACCACCATTTTCAACAATACAATTGCAATATATTATTGATTTGTATGAAACAATTGAAGAAATTGCTTTTGATAAAGTCTTACGTGCCTATGTAAAAAAAGAACTCGTAGAAGAAACATTTACAGATGAAGAACGTGAACGTGTACTCAGTGTATTTTCTCGTATGACATTTGAAAAACAAACAATTGCTGAAACATTGAAAAATGTCAATAGTTGGATTTCTATGCTCAAACGATTAATGATTCGTGTATTGAATGCTAATGTCACTCTCGATGTTCCATTACAAGTTTATCTCGAGCGAACAGATCTATGGAATGATCGTGTGAGTGATCTCGATTTGGAAACTTTTCAAGTCAATGATGATATTCTTCTTCAACATACGTATATCATCTTAAGAGGTTTAGAAAAGAAACAAAAGGCAGGCAATAAGCTACCACAGCAACAAAAAGAATTGGAAATTCAAACTATAGAAGGACAGCGAGAAAAAGTTCAGACTTGGTTTGATACAACAGCTAGATCGACAACGGCGCCTAAAGTATTAAAACCGAAGATTCGGGTGTGACCTATTGCTTTCTTTTTAACTCATTAATAAACATTATCGAACAATTCTTAAAACTAGATTGTCACTGTAAACGTAGAGAACTATATGCTTCATTTGCATAGCAGGATGGGTGTGTGCGTGTGTGTGAATGAATATTTCCATTTACACTCAATCTCTATATCAAATGAACAAGGAGAAGTAACTTTATTTTAAAAATCATGTTCTTTTTACTTGTATTGACTCGTTGAACTGTTGATTCAACACTCGACTAGTTTAATTTTCGTGTTGAAAGAGAAGTTGATTGAAGTCTAAAAGAAAGACTTTTTGCAACGAAGTTCCAACGAATACTTTTTTTAATGCTGATACTATTGATAAGATCAAAGTTGGCAGCTATGTTAGTTTGTTATCAACTTTGTAAAAAGAAAAAAAAGAACATTTTTATATCTACTGAAGTAAGAACTTCAGTTATCTTTTCCTTGACACAATGATCTATCGCTCAAAATCGTAATATATTCCTATATCCTTTTATGACTGTTTCGGAGTTTTATTATTAACAGTATTGCGCCAACTATAAAATGTCAATGAATGAATGCATTGAAAAGAATAACGACGTTCAATCGTTTCTCCTGTCACGCTGATATTCATGGTTACTCATCTCGAGAAAAAGACGTCAAACACTGGCGATGTCTATTTTTCACCTAATAATCCAGTCTAATAGATTGTTTTATATTCTTATATGTGACTACTATTGCCGTTCTATGGCTATTTATCACATGAATGCATCAAAGAACTGAACCATTCCGTCAACATATTCGAGCCTAGATAATAAAATTCATGAGATATATATATATACGTGCTAAGGCATATCTCTAGAATGTCGTCTGCATGAGTTAGAAGTTTACTACTATAAAAGAAATCATTCAGACAACTTTCGTTCATGTAGCTTAGAATAATTCAATGATCAGTAAGAACAAGGGTGTGAGCTTCCATGTGAACGATAAATGAGCAAATTCACATATAAATCAGATAAAAAGTGCATAGATAGTCTAGTAATCTTTGAATAAAGCTCAATAAAAGTAATGTATTAAAGAGGAGATAGACGATGAGATAAGTTCAACTATTGTATGTTGGTTTTTTATATTTCTGTCATTCAATCATTTGGCATAGTCGATGTCGAGAAAGTAAATGAATCACTTAATGTTCAAATAATACATTCTGCACAATGACCGATAACAAAGATGACATGAAAACTGACTGTTTTATTTTTAAATCTTTTCATAAAGGAAAAAAATAGTATCCAAAGATGACACAATCAGTAAAAAACAATATTTGACATGTATACATAACTCTACAGACGATTTCCGTACATATGTTCAGTTGTCAAATGTGTCTTTGGTCGATGAAATGATCATTGAATGGAAAATCGTCTGTATGGCGATTATTGGTATCATTCAGTCTGAAATATAAAAATGATTTGTACTATTGTAAATAATTTGTTCATGAAATCAATGATCACTACAATATCTATAGATTTTTCACAGATCGTTGGTGGCAGGAAAACTGACACTAACTAAACGACTAATTCTCTCTATATTGAAGAATTTTTCACATAGGACGAAACTCTTTTTAAGTACCTTTATAGTGTTTCAAATTTTTTTTTTTCGAGCTCTGTAGTTCGCACGAAATCATTTTTTTCAGAACTGAAACTAATTAAAACAAAATATCATTTACCGTTTAATTTATCAATAATGGCTTGTTCAATGGATACTTTTGGATCATTCCAATGAGCATTTATTTTAAGGCTATTCAGCCTTTCTATTAATCGTTCGTCAACACCACGATATAGAAAATTCTCTGTTAAAAGTGCTTCAGGTCTATGGAAACTTGTAACACGTTCTCGGGATTGCATGACCTTTGTATAAACTCGCTGTACCATCCGATCTTCATATTGGCTGATTGATGAATGCAAATTTTGATTATTCTGTACGATAATATCCGTCAGCTCAACAGCATCTAACAGGGCTTGATTGGCACCTTGACCTTTGAAAGGAGACATTGGATGAGCAGCATCACCAACGAGTGCAATTTGAGTACCATTTAAGTTTGGATCTGCAATACGAACTAGATCTCTGTCAAAAGCTGGTATTCCCATCAATAGATCTAGGTGTGTTTGTTCAATCATTTCAGGTATTGGTGGATGCCAATCAGAACATTTTTCCAGCAGCATTTGCTTCAAAGCACCTGGATCTCGTGATAATTGAGTTGCTAAGGTTACGGTGGCAGGAAATGACAGCTGCCACATGATGGATTGTTCTGGTCTGAACTTCGAAAATGGCATAGCAAAAAGTCTGAAGCATCCATCCATTGTTTGGAATACACGATCTTTTGTAAGGAAATGATCGATGCGTCCAGTAATTCCTAATACTACTAATATACCCAAATAATTCAGTGGAGCATCGGTAAGAGGATTATACTTGAAAGAACGTACTAAACCATTAATTCCATCAGCTCCAATCACCAAATCAACATCAGTTACTGTATGGTCTTTAGTGAATAAAACTTTGCGTAAATCGCGGTCAATGTGAATAATACGATAATCCCATTGAATGCCTTCAGGACCAAGTGGATGCAATGAAATATATCTGTTCATGATAATTCTTCGTAATTCTTGTCTTTCGATGTGTAAATTATGTTTTTTTCTAGCCTTTGGCTGATTGTCCTGTTCTGGCCAAAATACAGTTCCAAAAAAGCCAATCAAATTTCCATATTTGTCAAAAATGTAGTGCGTTCTTGAAGGAGTATCTAATGAGTGCACTTGCTGGAACACATGTAAACGTTTCAATGCATTAATACCCTGCAAAATTGTCAGCCCATAACCTTGACGTCTACTGTCCATGCCTGTGTCTCGTTCGTATACTGTAACATCTGTGTATCCATGTTGTAATAACCCAATACCAGCTGCAAATCCTCCCAATCCACCACCAATGATCGCGATTTTCATTTCAGGAATTGATTGATCTGAAAAAAAACGAAAAGAAATGATGTATTCTTTATAATAGATATCTGGAAGGGAAGCGTCTATATGAACGAGTAGAACAACAGCGTCAACAAAATAAAATTTGAACTAGTGAAATATTTCAGAAGCGTTTAGCTCTAAGGAATCAAGAAAATCACTCCTATCTGACTGTGAACGAGAAAACAAAAAAACAAGAGTGACAGAGATTGGAAATGAAAATCTACTAAAAACACGTTAGAAAAATCTTTCAACAATCACAATTGTTACTTTATCTTTTCTACGTACATGATTATCCTCAGCAAAAACGTTTCTTTTTTTGTATTTTGCTCAAAATGATTAATAATTAGAGATCATTGAAGAAGAATAAACTTATTTAACTGATGATATTCTAAATATAATAAACAAAACAAAAAATATGAATATAAAAGATATCTACTGAACAAAGATAAAATTAATAATGAGCTTTTTTTATAGTATATATTTGAAAGTTGAGCTGTTGCCTAAGAATATAGTTTTTGATGATTCGAAAAATAGGATTACATCGTTTTTCTTATTCAAATAAAATTTCGAAACAAAAGTTTTTTTCGGAAATAAATTTTTGTTTGATATTTCAATTACTGTTTCTATGAATTTTTTATCAAACAATTACATCGTTCACATTTTCATCTAACGAATATGAAACAAGAAGGTATTAGAAAAAAAAATTCTATGATACAGAAAATTTTTCTTTTCATATTTTTACAAAACGGCTAATTCACTATAACAACAACTAAAGATTTTCCAATGAACTTTATATCTCATTGTGTTAATCGTTACATCATTCTTGATTGTTGAAGAAAAATCTTCTAATAAAAAATAAATCTAAGTATCCTAAGACAGAAGAAGAACATCATTAAATATTCATGGATGAAGTTTTAGAAGAAAAAACATAATGATTTACTGACCAATGTAAACAAACTTCAAAAAATAAGAGAATTAATTGTCAAATTGATTCTAAAGCTTCGTATAAGATTACTATTGCTAAAGGTATTATAAACACTTTTAACGAGATTTTCAATTTTATTAATTCGCAAATGCTTACGATTAACTTAACACGTAATACTGTTTTGTTTTTCTACTCAGTATCTTATTAAACATTGAATGTATGAATGACGTCAATCAAATGCGTTCAAAAACTCAGCTCCAAAAGCATTATTCAGTTTGTCATCGCATAAAGGAAAAGTACTTTCATATATAGGGTGTGGGTGTGCGGGTGTGGGTGTGGGTGGGTGGGGGGGGGGGTGGGAGGGGTGTGGGTGTGGGTGTGAGTGTGTGGGTGTGTG